AGAACTCGGATGAATACACAAAAGCAAGACAGAGGCAGAAAACAACTCGGGAAAGGCTCAGCACAAGCTCACCTACGAGAATATTACCTGTTGGAGGATGTTGATGAGTTGAGCGTTGCCTCTTGGGCAACGACTGCTTAGAAGCAGCCTCAGTCCGCCGCTTCCTAGATAACAAGATGTATTGAGCAATCCGAGGATTAAGAACATACTCAACATAGGAGTGTTGACCTTCAAATAAGCCAGTAGACAGTCTGGCGGAAGAAGAACCTGGCCCGGTGGCAGCAACTACCGCAGGACCGGTAACAGCATCATCATCTTCATCTCCGGGCTCTTCAACAGTAGCCCCACCACCACTAGTAACAGCTATCTCGAGCTTAAAAGCTCGGCCAAAACCCTGCGATAAGAGACTAGGCAAAGTCAACAACAGATGCAAATTATAAACATTAAAAAAAGAACTCGACGAATCATATACATACCGCAGGAGGAGGATGAGCAGCATCATATTCATCAACCCGGGCAAGCATCACATAAACACCCCCCAAAATACGCTCAAGACGTTCAAGAATCATCTCCTCAGTCAACTCAGCATCAGCAACAAGTCGAGAAGGATCTGAGGGGCCAGTATATTCAAAACCATAGTGCACCCTCTGCATAAGAGGCTGCACCCGGCGACGTAAAAAACTAGCAACTATGCAGTTAACAGTTAAGCTCAACTGCTGCAAAACCTTAACTCGGGCGAGTACAGGCTTGAGGGCAGCAGTTTCAGCAGCAAAAAGCTTATCCTTCTAAATAGGAAGAGGACTCGGAATCATGGAAAGATCAGAAGAAAAAGAAGGAGCCGGTTTTGGGACATAAAACCATTTCTCAGCCCAATCTTTAACAGAATCAGAAAGAGTAAGAGAAGGAAAAGTCACCCCTTAACGGGTTTGGATGAGGCAGCAACCAAAGAAAGGAGGATTCTTAGAATCAGAGAGCCGCATGCGGAAGAAGAAGACAAGGTGGAATTCCAAGAAAAACTTCACAAAAATGTGTGAAGGCAGATAGAAAAAGAACCCCATTTGGGGTAAGATGATGAACTTGAATCTGATAAGATTCAAGAAATTCTAACAAGAAATCAGACGGGGGATAACAGAGTCCCGCCCGCACAAAAGGAATAAAAAAACAGACTAATCAGGAGAAGGAGACGGAATCAAATGCTCACCAGGGGAAGAGAAATTAGAAAGAAATTTCTCTTGAATGAGCCCATGGGCAACCAGCAAGTCCAGCTCCGCCTCCTGCATCGATGGCTTCGGGAACTGCCTTTGCATCCGCCTCATGGCCATGAACTCAGGATTGTCAATTTGCTTGAGAGCTTTCTCCTCGTCAACAAACTCACCCTTGCCCTTGTTCTTCTTCACCATCAATCAAAAGCAAGGGCCAGATGCAGTAGCAGCAGTAGCAAGAGATTTGAGGCGGCGGATGCAATGTTAGGGTTTTCTCAGCAACGAGGATTGGGGAATTTTTCACCGCAAAGGCAAGTGAAAGCAACAGTAACAGGGTCGTCATTTTTATAAAGGGAAAAATACACGGCCTACGCGACCCAAATGAAACTGTTACCAAAAATTACCGTTCCGCAATCAATGGCATGCATAACGGAAAAGGAAAGCAACGGTCCATTCAGATCTCAATGGTCAGATGCCAAAACCATTCACAAGGAAACAACGCAGAAAAAGGATACAACAAGTCGGTAACAACACTACACTACAGCCAAAGCATGCAAATACAGAGAAGAACTCGGACATAGTGGCAGACAACTCGACCTCCAGCAGAAACCATCTTATTCATTATTTCTTTGATTGGAAGAACACTGAGATTACAACAGAGTACAAGATCTGATAAATTCAACAAAGAAAACAAAGGAGATCATTCTAGAGTGGCAGCAAAGAACCCAGTGGAATTTGAGGTTGCAACCCTCCGCACCAAGATTCAATATTGCCAAGCAGGATAAAAACAACCCGGACGTACTTTTCTCCAAAGGAAAGACGCACATCTAGATTGCTATAGGTGGCAGAGGCGGCACCCACAAGTCATCCAAGATTGACAAAAGAACTCGGCACCTCCTCCCAACACGTGCTAATCTGCACCAGACTGAGCCACAATGGCACGGCAGAAGACAGAACAATGGCTGATCTACAACGGACTGTCAAAGAACAAGCTGGACCACGCGCCAATCATCACTGTAAGGAAGGCAAAAAGGATAGAGGGCAGGCACTTGAACACCAGGCAGCGCAACATGCACCACCTATATCACAAGTCCTACACCATTTGCCTCAATGCCCCTTACAGCTAAATACCACCTCGAGACTAGCCTGCTACTAGTCTCAATCACAAGACCTACACCATTTGTTAACAGAAGGGATAGAAGAGAGAGAACAAGCCCGGGGGCTCATCAAGTTCGCAAACTATAATACACATGGTTACAAGGAAATAGAAGAGGAGACTACAAGCGAGACAAGAACAAGAAGCATCAGACCTACAAGTATTTATAGAGCAACAACAGGTGCACATACACCAAGTCTAGGAAAAAAATAAGATTCTAAAAGGACAATCCTCATGAGTCACAAAGACTGCAGTAAAAGTCAGGCATGACCAGACTACCACGAGGGAACAGTACATACCCAGAACAATCACAATACAAGATAAAGCATATCCAAGAGAATATGCCACAGCAACAGTACAACCCGTGAGGACATGCATTGAATTCTTCAACAGCCAGATTAACAGCAGCAAGGATCGGCCAAAGAAACAACCCGGAACCCAGAAAAGAACCCGTCATCACAAGAAAAGCAAGCATCAAGACAAAACGGAACTGGGGAATACATTCATCTTCTGAATTACAAGGATACAAGATTACACGGTTTACAGAATGACAATAAGAAGGAGCCTCTAAATACCTTGATAAGGAACCCTGAGGAAGTCGATTACTACAAAAGACCACAAGTCACAAAATACAAAGATAAAACCAAGGCCACAATAGAATCACCGTGGTAAAGAACAGGAGAACCCTGGTTAATACCTAGCAGAATAAACACAACCCAGATACACTACAACTACAGAGGATGAAGCAAATCCTAGGGTGTGGATAGGGAGACAGCCACGTCCTGGACGAGCACACCGATATGGTCACTTCCAGCTCAGGGTCAGCCAGCAGGAGTTAGGTGCAAGCATCGATCGCCAAAAAAGTGGAGCGCGCCACATCTCCCAACCAAAGACCAGCAACAGCGTCAACCCGAAGATTGAAAGGCAGATAGAGCAAGCATGGAAGCCACATCACAAGGACTCTTCTACCTGCCCCCTCAAACTTCTCAGGAAAATCTCCCCGAGGGATTAGTATGCTTCTAACCCCTTTCACAATAACTCTTCCAACTGCCAACGCGAAAGTTATCAAGTATACAAAAGCCCGGGGGCTGCTCAATCTCACACACCAGCATATCTACGAATGAAGAAAGAATTGAAGAAGAAATTTCCAACTCAAGGCAGAACCACAACCAACAAAGAAGGTATTTATAGCAAGCCGGAGGCAAGCAAGACTAAAGATCACAAGAAAGAAAGAGGAAAAGAACAAAAGAGCAAAGCAACAAAGACGAATAGTGCTCAAAAGCAAGATTTCTGACAAAAAGTAAAAGAAGATGCTCAATCATGGGTATACAGAACCCATCCGTGACCAGCAAACGACAAAGACCAAAGGAGTACAAATCAAGAACCTTCTACCGACTTCTTCTCAACAGAAAAGAACCCAGAGAAGGCTCGGGGGCTGCAAGTACCCACCACAGAAAATTACATTTTCAATTTTTTGACCCTCCAGCTTTTTGTACCAAAAAACAAGAGGCTCGGGAGCTACACTCAATGAGTGCAATTTTTTGCAAAATTGCACTCGCTGCACTCAAAGGAAAAAGAACTCGGAGGACATCAAGACAGAAAAGACCCTCTAGCTTTTTGTGCCAAATAGCAAGAGGCTCGGGGGCTACACTCACTGAGTGTACTTTTTTCAGCAAAAGTGCACGTCAGTCAAAAGAAGAATCAAAGAAGACCATCTCAAGATTTCACTTCAAGAAGAACCCGGATCAAGTCTACAACAACTCGGCCCTTGAAGCTCAATCATGAAATGCTCAGGGGCTTATCGATGGGGAACCCTACGGCCCCCCATAGACCGTACTATAGGGAAGTGGGCCTTGGTAACAAGGCCCACAGCCCAATCGCCAAGAAGAACATGGAGCAAAGCAACGAGCAAGATCAAAAACTCCAACTCGGACTATACAAGGAAAGGCGCCCGAAGCATAGCTTAGGACTCTGACCTTGTATCCGAGTAGGACACAAACAACTCCTCTCAGCACCTGGACTATAAAGGGCTGGTGAGGATACCCCTTGTAAACAAGACAATGCATACCCAATACTCAAAGCAATACGACGCAAATAGGCTAACGCCGAACTGGACGTAAGGTTATTACTCGACCAAGTCGAGGGCCCGAACCAGTATAAATCGTGAGTCTCTTTGCGTAACCGCCGAGTTCCACTATTCGCCGAAGCCCGAACAACTGTCCCGGGTATCCCCATGGCAGGCTATCGGTGGTAAAACATCGACAAGACCATAACGGCTAGATGTCAGAATCATCCATTCACAAGGAAGCAACAGAGAAAGAAGAACACAACAAGTCGGACTATAACACTCTTACAGAAAAAAGTACTGATGAAATATACAACTCGAGAGATACAAGAACAACCTGGATCACAGCAGAAACAATCTTATTTTTTCATTACACTGGTCAAGAAGATACTGGATTACAACAGAGTACAAGATCTGATGAATTCGACAAAGAAAGCAAAGAAAATCATTCAGCGCGGCAGCAAAGAACCCAGTGAAATGCAAGGCTACAGCCCCTCCACCAAGATTCAATATTATAAAGCAGGATAAAACAACCCAAATGTGTTCGCTCCGAAGGAAGGACACACATCCAAGATTGCTATAGGTGGCAGAGTGACGCATAGGCTCTCCAAGTCGAAAGCTTGATCTGCCTCAACAACCCGACATCAATTCCCAACACGTGCTGATTTGCACCAAACTGTACGAAAATGGCACAGAACAGAGCAAAACAGGTGCTCACCTTCACACTCTCAGACGCAACACCGAGTCCATAAAGGAACAAGAGCTCCAAAAGGACCACTACAGAAAGAGGACAAGCATGACTAGATCAGCACTAAAGAGCAGTACCTCCCAAGAACAGAACAGAGCATATTCAAAGGAATATTCCACGTCATGGTCCAAACCGAGAGGACATGCATTAAAACTACTCAACAAACAGTACAACAACAAGCACAGCAACCAGCAACTGACCATACAGCTCGGAATTGAAGAAACAACTCGTGGCCACAAAGAGAACAAGTATCAAGACAAGACAGAACAAGAAACTTTTTACATTTATCATTGCGATACAAGAATTACACAGATTACAAAGGACATAGTAGACCTGCGAATAAAAACAGAGGAAGATTCTAAATACCATGACAAGGAACCCCATAGAATTCGACTACCACCAAGGACCACAAGAGACAAAATATAAAGCAAAATACAAACAACCCGGATCTATTACCACAAATCAGTCCCAGGAGGTACCACTGCATCAAATGAACCAAGTTCTGTAGGTTCATAATCTGGGTTTTGATCTTCACGACACTCCTTAGCATGATCACAATACCTGGGTGTTTCTGGTTCTTCTTTCTTCTCCTCTCTGAATGGAAAACAAGAGGTATTTAGATTCGGCAGATCACTTACAGTAAGCAACATGAGTTTACAGTAAGTAACATGAGTCCTTGTTTGCATCTAATTTGTCTATATCAGTTACTATTTTAACATGATTATTACAGATTCTGGTACATATATCCTAAAAGGCTGAAATACTGTATGAATTCTATCCAAATGGTGAAGGTAAATCCAAGTAATGTAGCAGATAGACTAGGTGACTAGAGGGTTAAGCTACAACAACAGCCGTGGATGCATTTTAAGTTCCAGACATTCATGTAATCGTGTTACAGCAACAATAAGAAATCAACAGTGCCATCTAGAGCTGTGGTTTCAGTCACTGATGATTTTTTCTGCATAATAAGTTTCAGACATATGAAACACAAATAAGTTGTCCCCTGTCCAGCCTCATTTAAAACCTGCTTGCACGAATATGAAGGCAGCTATAATTGGGGGATGATTTGACAAGGACTAACTACAGTTGGTTCCTTCTTTGAAAGAAACAGATCCCTTAATTCTACTGTCCAATCCCCAACCACACGGCGCAAAGAAATGCGCAGAACAAATAAAAAAGCAAATGTGCTGTGGAGCGCTTACTTCCGCCGCATCATCTTCTCCTTGTTGTTCTTCTTCGATGACATCTTCTCCCTCCCTCTTCTGTATCCCTAAATCATTCGGAAGAAAATTAGAATCTCGACGCAAAAATTATAGGCGCGGATCACAGGCTCGCCCGGAGACTCGGTCCTAGGGTACCTGCTCACAGTAGCTACGGCGGCAGAAGATGGGAAGGAGCGAGGCAACGTTGCTTGACACGTGACAGACGGCATGCAGGCCGCCGCCGGCGGCGGCGGAGGCAAGCCGGGATGTGTCCGGTGGGAAACCCGAGCGTCGGTAGGAGACAAGACGGAGGCGCCGCTCGGGGATGATCGGGTGGAGGCTGGAGAGGCGGTGGCGCGCCGGTGCGGCGGTGATTGGCCCTCGGATCGGAGAACGGGATCAGGCTACACTTGTGTGTAACACACTTGTGTGTTGATGCCTTCAATCTTTGATGAGTCACCTGACCGACACGCATTCTAGTGTTCTGGACCAAGATCAGACGGTCTAAATCAAAACAAGTAAAGAAGAAAAAATGGAACGTACTAAATGGAACATACCACCTCCGCACCTAAATAACGAGATATAGTTTTCTAAAAAAACAACTTTGACTAAATATATAGAAGTAATAATATTTATAGTACAAAATAAATATTACTCCCTCCATTCTAAGTTATAAGTCACTCCAAGAATCTTATCTTAGTGAATCGAAGCATCTCAAGTTTGATTACATTTATACAAAGAACTACAAAGATTTATGAGTAGAATAGATATACTATGAAAATATAATTAATAAAGAATAAATATAAAGACACTTAGTTGGTATCATAAACGTTATTATTTATCATATAAATTTGGTTAAACTTGAGATGTTTTGGCTCTCCAATATTATTAAAATAATTTATAATTTCGGATAAAGCTTGAGTGTTAGATAGATCGTTAAGTCCATTTATAAATTTAATTGGAAATACAAATATTGCACGTATTTTCTACAAAACTAGTTAAATTACGGTATAAAAATTGAAAACCCAACGGTTATTTAGGGATGGAAGGAGCATGTCCGACAGATTGTGTTGTTAAAAAAGTCATACTAGTAAATTTTACCTTTGTTTTCAAACCCGTATTAACAAGATACGGAGGCGTGTTAACACATGTAGAGACACGAGACACGACCACCACCTGTCCACCCCCATTACCACTAACCATCTAAGCAACCGCTTTACTCATGGATTGTGTTTCATCGGTAGAGGCTCGAGCACACAAAAACAGCCCAGTGTCTTAATTTTATCGTAAGACAACTAATGACGACGCCTTGAAATGTGAACCCTAGACAACTCATGTCTTAATTTCAAGCTCGAGGACACGTACTGCTTTTGCTCTCACGCCTTCCATTCCATCAGGAGTTGAGCACTGCATCTTCGGCTGACTGTCGCCTCAAGCTCTTGTGTGCTAGAGGGAGCAGCAAGTCAGGAACCAGAAAAGCAACAGGACAGGATGATCCAGTGCATGCATGGATAATAAACAATACAATCCCAAACCAGGCCTCTCTGCTGTGTGTCTGCTCTGCCCGGAATCCGATGGACCAAGACACAGATTAGCAGCACTAGCTTGGTCACCTGTTCCAACAAGAGTTGTGATCCGAAAGAGCACCCTAACGTTCCCTTCCATGGCAAACCAAAACAATAGCAAGAAAGAACCACATTGCCAATTAGGCAAGCATAAAGTGTAAAGCATGTAGATGGGCATGAACAACTAACAGCAGGCAGTCTCTGCTCAGCATTCTTTCAGTCTTTTCCGAAGCCAATAACACAGTAGCATACTCCCCTCTTATAGACATCTACAACTAGATATCAAATTCCGTGGCAAACATAACCCAATGTGCGGGTGAGGCCTAAGCAACATAGAGTTCTGCCTACTTTTCCTATGTCCAAGACAAAAGAGAGTAACACCGTGGTAACTTTTCTCATACATAGCAATTTACTCAAGAAACATGAACAGTCTTCTTGGGTCGAAACACTCTTGCGGGAAAAAGGGATCAGTCTTTTGGTTTTGCATCCATGTTGCAACCTGGAAAACGATACAAGACATTAAGAACATTTCTCATGTACCCATCCAAAACATTAAGAACATTTCTGGGTTGGCGAATGATATATCGGCATATATGCGAGGCCTGAGCATCAACAAACAGTTTGGTCGGTCAGAGCCCTAGGTTAGGTTAGGTGCTTGCAAGGGCCACTTTTCAGTTTCAGAAATTGCTAGCAGTCAGGAGGTTGAGAGTTATAGCTACATAAGTAACGAGAGGAATTGACCTTATAGGTGCAGTTTTAAGTGTGTCCTGATGTAAAACTGCACTTTCTAACATTGAAAACATTTTTCTCATCACATTTATATAGTGTAGCGCATAAATGTTTCACAAATTTAGTACCTCAAGACTCAGGAAATCGGCGAATTCCGGCTCCAAGAAGTGACCTCCTGTCAATAGAATCTCTGAATTTACGCCTCTGCCCCTTGAGTACCTTAAGGATTCTGCTCCGATCATTTGATATAGCACTAAGATCTAATTCAATACAACATAGGAATGTCAATATATTATTCGCACAAAGATTATTGCCATCAATGACTAGAGGTTACCTTCAGATGTTAGCATCCTCTTCTTGTCATGTAGATCCAAGAATGCGAGCAAACCAAGGATCTGTTTAGAGATCTCTGACAAAGCTTGGGAGTTATGTTGTGGGTACTCTTGCTGATACTCCTCTGCGAGCACCATCAATTGCTCCTGTTGCTCCGCTGCTGTCATGGGAAAGCTCTGTAACAGTGACTCGAACAGTACACGATCGGTGCACTTCAAGGTGGCTTTGGCGATGTTAAAATGTCCTGCAATTCAGTGGAGAAAAGCAATATCATATATCCATTGAACACAGGCTTAAAGTACCAATAGTAAGCACACCCAAACAATCCAAATTGACGCTATGCTGACTTTTAAGGATAAAGAATAAACTATAGGTAAATAAATAACTGATAACTATACTACTAGAGTTTTAGTTCACTTTCCATGTGATACGTATAAACCTCTCTTACCAAGATAACATGTATGCCTTAATGGTCCTAAACAAAGAAGCAATACAACTTTACTGCCATAGTCCAGCAAGTAGCACAAGTTTTTTTATAAGAAATACAGTCAGGCCAGCATGCTAAAACAATGCAGCAATATTTTGACAAGCAGTCTAGCACATCTCATTCCGCTGAAGGCAAACTGATAACTCAATTCATTGACAACGAAAACTAAATTCTTCTCTGTAATCTCATGTAGCAATCCAGCCATAGTTCAAATGCAAGAACGAACCCTAAATCATATCATACTGCAACCGACCATGCCATGACACCTAGGCTAATTAAGGGCACAAAGACAAGGAAAAACTTGAAAATATGGACTAGTTTTTTTTTTCTTTTAGCAGTACAACAGAGTGATGATCAACTTCCAGTTCACAAGTGTAGACAAAATTATGAGTAATCAGAACAGGAAAGGTACATTTGCATTGTCACTAGCAGATATACATTGGCAGGTATTCCCTCCATCCCATATTATAAGTCATCATTCCAAGAATCCTACAAAGTCAAATCATCTCAAGTTTGACCAAATTTATATGATAAGGTAATGATATTTATGATGCAAACTAAGTATCATTAGATTCTTCATCAATTATATTTTCATAGTATACCTATTTGATGTCAAAAATCTTTACAATTTTCTCTACAATTTTGGTCAAACTTAAACAAAACGCAGCAATTTTCATAGTATGCCTTAATGATCCTAAACAAAGAAGCCATACAGCTTTACTGTTATAATAGTCCAGCAAGTAGCACAGGTTTTTTTTATAAGAAATACAGTCAAGCCAGCGTCCTAGAACAATGCAGCAATATTTTGACAAACAGTCTAGCACATCTCATGGTGCTGAAGCCAAACTGATAGCTCAAGTCATTGACAACGAAAGCTAAATTCTTCTTTGTAATGTCATGTATCAAAACCATAGTTCAAATGCAACAACCTACCTCAAATCATCATACCACAACAAAAGAGTGAGGGAGGGAGGGCCTTCAGTACCAGCGAGTGCGCGGCGCGCAAAGTAGGCTTGCTTGAGCGGCTTCAGGTGCTCGCCGGCTGACAGCCCGTGGTCCAGAGGGGCGCCTTAGGGATATAGTAGGGTGCCGCCTCCTTGGCACGCACTTCCTGCATCGTGATGTTTATGTTGGCAATTTCTCCCCTCATGGCCATCAAGGCAAGCACCTTGGCCTGGAGGACGCGCTCGTTGGCTATGACGAAGGCGGGTCCAGCGGCGGCGGCTCCTTCCGACTGCTTCGTCTTCGTGTCCTCCGCCATCTCCTCGATGACCTGCGCTTCTTTTGGCGCCATGTAGGAGACGAGGTACACCTGAAGAGCGTCGCTCCCCGGTGCCCGCTCAGAGAGGGCAACGGCGAGGCCGTCAGTGGTGGCGACGCGCATGAGGTTGCCGCCGCGCACCTCGTCGTCCGGAGCGCCCCGAAGTGGTACAGGAAATCCGTCGCGGAGCACCTCCACGGGGATCCCGTACATATCCGCGAATTTTGAATCCTCGTTTCTCTTCATGGCGCCGGCGGCGGGCTGAGACGTGGCGAGGCCGAGGCGGCGGCGGTGGGAGGGCCTAGGAGTGGGGGAGGGGAAGGGGAGGACGGGGACGCAGCGGAACGACAAGTGGCGGGGTCCCCTCTCTCTCTCTCTCTCTCCTCCTTCCTATACCTGCAGCGGCCTGTGATCAAACCGACCTTCCAAACATTTTTTAAAAAACACGACCTTCCTTGTTAACTCCACGGCCGTCTGATACTATTAATTAATTAATAGTATTAATGCAAAAAAGGAGGATACCCCTCGATAGAAATTCTAAATTATAAAAACGCTCTGGTTTTTAAGATACGTTGTTTTTATCGTATACTCCATCTACCCAAAAATATATGTCGTTTCCGGTCTCCGAGCCACGAGTTTGATTCGATTTGTATAAATTATGTGTAATATTTGTATCTCCAAATAAATTTGTTAAAAAACTAGATTCAAAGATCTTTTCAATAATACTAATTATGCACCGTAAATATTAATAATTTTTAATATATATTTTATTAAAGTAATTTCTCGGGAAGCGAAAGCGACAAACATTTTGGGACGGAGGGAGTACATATTTATAGAACAGGGGACTCTCCAAGTTTTGATTGATGTGAGCATTGAAGATATGGACCGCGCATTCAATGTTAGGCCAGTCTCAATGTGAGTTTCAATTGAGTTTCATTTGTATTAAATAGGTTGCCACCTAGGCATATTTGATGACATGGCAGTATATTTAAGAAAAGAGAGAGGAAATGACTGTCATGTAGATGAAAGTCTCTTGACACGGTTACCATCTATCTTTGAGTCATGAAATTAAATGCCTATAAAACTTTAGAATGAAACTTTGCACTGAGGGATGATGTTTCATTTGAGTTTCATTTCATTTCATATGGCATGGCCGTCTTGGAAACAACAAAGTGAAACTCACCACTGAGACTGGCCTTATTGATTGTTGTGTGTAGAGATACAAGCGGGCAAGCTTTGCTCGCTATCGCGAAACCCTTCAACTTTTAACTTGGTTCAAATGCGCTTGTAAACATTATGATACCATGCATGCACATTTGAAACAAGCTAAGGGCATGATTGGTTTGGTACCAAAATTTGCCATGCCAAGATTTTGGCAAGTTGGTAGCATTTGGTTGACTACCAAAACTTGTCAACTTCTCACATTTGACTTACCAAATCTTTGACAAATGTTTTGCCCAAGTTTTGCCTTGCCAAATCCTTGGCATGTCAAATTTTGATAGTCAACCAATTAAGCTCTAAATCTAGTAGTCTATTCGACATTCTCTTAAGGAAGTACACCCGATATAATCATGACCTTTACATCTATAAGGATTGAACAAGTGGGCCCACACAAATCACATTATAGCCACTACTACAATAATCTTTACAGAGGCGAGCAAAAATGCTTAAACCGCCATGGAGATAAGGTCATGGTAAATATGACCATTAACTGAGGTGGTTCCAGCCCGCCACGGTTAACCCAGAAAAAATAACAAAAAAAATCAAAAAGCCCAGATCCAGGCTCGTTGGGTCTGGATCTAGGCCTGCCGCCGCCTGCACGCCGCCATTGTCGTCGGGACCCATGCCGAGCCGCCGCCATCACGGGATGCAGATCCGGGGAGGGAGGGGCCAGGAGGGGCCACCGCCAGTCGGATCCAGGAGGGAGGGTTTCGCCGTCGTTCGGGCACCAGCTCACCGAAGAGGAAGGGGGGAGGCGGATCCGGGCACCCGCTCGCCAGAGAGGAAGGGGGGAGGCGGATCCGGGCCCCGCTTCAGCGGAGAGGAAGGGAAGGCGGATCCGGGCACCCGCCACGGGAGAGGAGGGGGAGGCGGATCCGCCCCCGCCACCGGGGAGGAAGGGAGGAGGTGGATCCGGGCACCCGCTGGCCGGAGAGGAAGGGGGGAGGCGGATCCGGGCACCCGCTGGCCGGAGAGGAAGGGGGGGAGGCGGATCCGGGTCCCCCGCTCGCCGGAGAAGAAGGGAGGAGGCGGATCTAGGCACCCACTCGCCGGAGAGGAAGGGGGTGGCCGGATCCGGTCACCCGCTCGCCGGAGCGGAAGAGGGAGGCTGGATCCGCCTCGCCCCAGGCGCCAAGGCCGCAATCGCTCGCCACACACCGTCTTGCGCGCTTGCGTTGTCTCGCCAAGGCCATTGTCACCGAACCGCCCGACGCCCTCCATATGGTCGCCGCCTGCCGCTGCCGGAGGTTGGTCAGTAGCGGGGAGCCCGCCGCCGGTCTTCTCCATGCCGACGCCCATCTCTTCGCGCCTGGCCGCTGCTTTGGCTCGGTGTCGCTCAGAGAGAGAAAGGGAGAGAGTGGAGGAGGGATAGCGGCGGGCTGAGCGAGTGAGAGAAAAGAGTGAGGGAGAGTGAAACCCTAGTGTCGGTGTTTCGAACAAACACCGACTAGTAATTTTATACTTGATGCGCGTTAGGGCCGGATGATGCACTAAAGGACACAAGGTTTATGCTGATTCGGGCTGAACGTCCTTACGTCCAGTCTGTTTGCTGCTCGTGTTATTAGCACCGAATGAGGTTCGTAGTAGGGGGTACAAACGGTTGGGAGAGGGAGAGATCCCAAGTCCCTGATGGAGTAGTGGAAAGGACGCCAAGAGCTCTGTTGCTGCTTGGTTGTATGGTGCGTGTGCGTGTGCTAGCTCGTCGAGCGTCGATCCCCTTAGTGGGGAGCACCGCCCTCCCTTTTATAGACAAATGGGGGCGCAGGCGTTTACAGATGGGGGAAAGGAAAAAATACTAAGAGCGTAGAAGGTCCTTCGAGAGACCCGAGTCTTCCTTCTTCCCCACGCCTCTCGCCTATCATGGCGATCGTCGTCGGTAGCGATCCGTCGATCTTCGCAGCCATGCCCCGCCTTTTTAGCAAGTGGGCGTCCCATCTCGCCATGCAGCGGGCGGGTCGGATAGGATTATCGAGCCCGACCTCGTGGGGGTCGACGACTGGCGCAGACTGCTGGTTGGCCCTTGGGACGTAGTGGTTGTCGTATGTCGTGTCGGGTTCTTCGTCGGGAGGTCGAGGCGGCGCCTACAACATCAGAGGGCGGAGAGCAGCGCCCGCTTAACCTTGCTCGTGCTCGCCACGCTGGAGGGGTCCCGGCGCTTGTCTGTCACATCCTGACGATACTTTCTTGAAGGGGTGCAGGGCATGGCGTCTGACGCTGCGGTTGACCCGAACGTCTTGTCTTACCCTGTAGCCGTCATCATGAGGGTGCAGGGCACGGTTTGTCAGGTGAGACGGAGCCAGCCTGTGAATATCGGGTGAGGCCAGATCCGTCATCGGTCGTTTGATGAGGTAAAGCCGGCCCTCGGGCCTTGGGCGAGGCCGAGCCCAGCCCTCGGGGGTCAGGCGAGGCGGAGTGTATCCCTTGGGGGTCGGGTGAGTCGTCCTCCAGCCATCGGGCGAGGCGGAGTCGTCCTCCAGCCGTCGGGCAAGGTGGAGCGGGTCCACGGGCGTTCGGGCGAGTCGTCCTCCAGCTGTCGGGCGAGGCGGAGTTGTCCTCCAGCCGTCGGGCGAGGCGGAGTCGTCCTCCAGCCGTCGAGCAAGGTGGAGCAAGCGGGTCCACGGGCGTTCGGGCGAGGCGGAACAAAAACTCCCGTCGTTCGAGCAAGAAGTGCAGCCGTGCTCTTGTCCGTTCTGGAGCTTTTAACGTTCGATGTTTATTAGTTCCACCTCCTTGGGTACCCCGGTATTAGGTCCCTGACACCTAGACTCCGTTTATATACTTGCAACCTATATTGGGCTGAGATGGGCTTTTGAGTGGACTTGGCCTTTTAACCGTGGCGGGCCTCTTATAAGCAACTGTCACTGAAAATGAGCTTGTTTTTACAGGTGGGCCTCTTATAAGCAACCGCCTCCGTAAATAGATTTTGCGTGGCGGTTTTTTTATAACCATCTCGGTTAATAAAAAATAACCGCCTCGGTTAATGTTGAGATTAACCGCGGCGGTTTAAAGGTTTGCCCGCCTCGTAAAAGATTTTCAAAACGCCTCGCAAAAGTTTTCTTTTAGTAGTGAGCAATGTGTATACACATATATGAATTTTGCTTCATGTTATTTTATTATATCATGTCTGGTAAAAAACCGGCAAGCTAATATAAGCGAACCCAATAAAATATATTATTAGTGATGAAACATATAGATTTAAAGTATTTTACATGATATAGGTGATATAGATATTTTTTTAATTAATAAGGGATGTCCTTTGAACCTTGAGAGACGATCCGTTTCGATGCCCCGGCACGCTGGGACCATGCTGTGCCACAGCCGCCAAGGCCACGATCGCCGTCGTCAGTGGCACCAGGTTCGACTTCGAGCGCTACCTGTCGACCAACGCCAGGACCGTGCACGACGCGCTGGACCTTCCGGTGTCCCGATCGAGGTCCTGACTCCTGAGCGAGTCCATGCGCGCGCTACTCCGTCCTCGCGGCCCCGCGCTAGCCATCGCCGCGTGCGAGCTCGTGGGCGGGCCCGCGGCCGCAGCTGTCCCGGTGGCCTGCACCGTCGAGATGATCCACACCGCGTCGCTCATCCACGACGACATGCCGTGCATGGACGACGGCGCGCTCCGCCGCGGCCGCCCCTCCAACCACATCGCGTTCGGCGAGCCCATGGCGCTGCTCGCGTGCGACGCGTTGCTGGCACTCGCGTTCGAGAACGTCACCCACGGCAGCCGACGGCGCCTCCGCGGACCGCGCGCTCTGAGCTAGCAGTCCGATCCTAGAGCTCGGGAGCGCAGCTGGCATCGGTGGCACCACCGCGGGGCAGGCCGCCGACATGGCGAGCGAGGAAGACCCCTCCGGCTTCGTAAGCCTGACCGCGCTGGAGTGCATCCACGTGCACAAGGCGGCGCGGCTCGATCGTGCACGAGACTGGCCTGAAGGAGGACTGAACGGGAGTGGGTGGTGATCAGTCGGCAGCCGAGCAGGTTTTCATGAAATGAGTTTCAGGTAGCAAATTATATATAAAAAAATAGTAGCTAGAGAAAACAGCCTCTATATAGTAAGACCATCCCTTATTGTATATCCCTTATTGTATCAGGTAGGCTTTGCAACGGGAATTTGGTGGATTTACTATTGATGTGGCCAATGTAAGATGATTTCCCTTCTGTGAATCTGTTTTTGAATAATTTGTTAACTCATGGAGGTTTTCTTGTTCAGGGCATTTGGTGGATTTACAACTGATGTGACCAGGTTGATGTCCCTTGTGTAAACAAACACTAATTAATTTCTCCTATATTTATGCTCCTGCAGTTCAGAACTGAGTGGTACAACAGCATATCTTCTGACTTTGCATTACCTGTAGACATTCTGAAGACATTGGGTTGGAGAAAGGGGTTGAGAAAGTAGCCACAACTCTCTGGCCTTACTTCTTGAGCAAGGTCTGGATATCTCCATTTTGCTTAACTGGACAGCAAAACAAGTTTATTAATAGAGTGGTTTTCTCATCCTCAGTGTGAGTCCCTGATGATCTTTCCTGTCCCTAGCTTAAAAAAAAAACCTTTCATGCCCCTGAAGTATTTTTTAAATTGGGATGTAATTTAATGATTCCTGCATGCATGTCAAAACTATTTTCGACTCTTACTTCTTGAGCAAGGTCTAGAGTCCCTTTTGCTTAACTGGACAACAATGACAAGTTTATGAATAGCGGTTCTCTCAGCTCCATTGTGATTCCCTGATGAGCTTTCGTGTCCCTAAAGTATTTATTTGAAATTGATATGATTTATTGATTTCTGCATGCGCAAACTATTTCTACATTTTGAGATGATTTAGTGATTCCCGCACCCCTGATCTTGGACAATGACCCATATGAACTGGAGCAAGAAATTATATTTTTTATATTGCACATTGTTCCTACCAAAAAAAAATCTCTACAACATCTACATGTGCAGGTTCCAGACCCAAAATTTGTGGCCAATAAGAGCCGAACCTGCCAAGAAGCAAGCACAAGTGGATCAAGCACATAAGCAGAGAGAAGATGAAACTCTGAGATCTTAGTGGTCTACATGGTAAGTTTCTTGAGAAAGATGAAACTCTGAGATCTGAGGAAAACTTTCTTGTCTGAATTACCGCTGAAAAACAATAGCTTATGGGAGGAGGAAACATCTCTTTTAGAAGGATTCCAGATTAATACAAAACTAAATATGCTCAGTGATATCAGGTAATAGTTTTTTTTGTGATTCAGGTAATAGTTTAGAAAAATGTAGTAATTTGTTTTATAATTATTTATTTTAGATCATGCTAGCAGAGAAGCAGGCAGCACTAGAGAAGTAAGAGCATCGGGTGAATGTGTCGAATACAACGGTGGGAGAACTCTTCTTTTTTTTTTTTTTTGAAAGAATGATGCAGCTTCTATTGATGCTCAAGTTTTTGCTCTCATGAAGGTCAGGAAAAACACAGAGAATGACTACACCCCTTCACCTAGGAATAGAAGTGACAATTTATCTTTGGAAAGTGATCCAAGTTAACTTGATGTAACTGTTGACACTCAAAAATGTCCGGGATTATTTTGGGCAAGTCAAACAACTTTCAAAGGCTCTAGACATGGTCGAGGTCAAACGACATCGCAAACGGAGCAGAGTCGCGCGGGGAAGATGGCGAGCCACAGCGAGCCACCCCTAGCTGGCTTAGCTGGGTCCTAGTCGGCTAAGCCGACTCACCTGGACTAGCCGGCTAGGCTGGGTGGGCAGACGGCTCAGCCGCCTCCCCCTACTCCCTCTCTCACACTCGGCCTAGCCGGGTGTCCTAGACGGCTTAGCCGGCCTGGCTGCCCAGCCGGCCGAGGCACTTGCCCAGCCTGTGGAAACCAGCTTAGCCGGGTCTCCTAGCTGGCTAAGCCGGCTCAACCTGTATTCCGAACAGATTTTGCCTAAAATCGTGTTTTGGAAGGTTTTAAGCGTACGGAACATAGAGATCGTGATTTGGGATTGTTTACTACTGGGATAAGACCGCCCCCTCTATATAAATGAGAGGATCACGGCCGATTGATCCCATCCAATCAATCGATCGAAAACACAACTATCTCTACTTTTGCCCTAATTTCTTCTCCTCAACCTTCTACCCTGCTGTTTGGCAAGTCTCTCCACGAGATTTGTTGGCTTCTTAGGCGGTCTTGCTGGTCCTAGGAGATCCTCCACATGCTTGCTCCTGACGGATCCTTCCGGAGGTGGTTCAGAAGCTTTTTTCAGCCGAGAACGAGCTTCACATCGGCCCTATCAGTCTCAAGCGGAGTGATTCGATGTCAACAGTAACTTATCTTTTCCTTAGCTCAACAGAGGTTCGCAAACATGCTCCTCTGCCAACAGATGTTCACAACTCCAAACTCCTCTTTGGCCCCTGAATGCCTAACGCTGGCGTCCTCGGTGGTAACAACCTATCACCCTGTAGCCTCTTGAGATGGTTCTCTGCATCTATTTTTTTTTGGATGGTTCAATCTTCTCTTCTTACTTTAGTAAAAATTTAAATGATAATACATATTGGTTGATTTTGTTGGTTATATGTAAAAAAACATTTAACAAAAATAATGGGTCTTATAATTAAAAGATGTATAAAGTCCTTAGAAAATATCAATGAGTGTTGATATTTGATATTTCACCTACCTATAGGTCACTAGAGTTTTGAATTACAAAATGGTCTGAGCTTATTGTAGACATTCACTTAGATTTCAGTACTGATTTGAATTACGTGCATACCTGCCGGTTGTAAATTATGGGTCTCTTTCGACTATAGATTCATCCAATGAAAAGTAACCGTTCTCATGCACCATTAGGCAACAAGACTGCCAAAGAACGTAAGATAATACAATACCCAATATTACATGGTATGTGCTATGTATATGTTAAACTTATATTATTTCAAAATTAACTATAGTTTTAGAGACGAAAGAATGCGAATAATAAGAGGCATGGTGAATCCCTATCATAAAAAAGCAACATGGTATTGAAACTACCAAAGTAATGCATCCTAACATGTTGAGTATTACTTAACATGTCTTTTTAGACGATGATGCCGTACTAAGGAAAATGTAGATTCTGTTGAAACAGATGATTGGCCGTATAGGAATGATTCCTATCAGATACACAATTTTGATGATGAGAACATGTTGACTTGGTTATGTTGTAATCAATTTCACATCAAAACATGAGTTATATTTAATTGACCATGCTTTATGAAGATTCATTTAATTTCACAATATTGTTTTTTTATCGTGCGAACCTTGCATTTTTAAGTACAAAAGTTTAGTTGTCCCGTAGCAACACACGGGCATGAACCTAGTAACAGAGAAAAAAGATAGAAACCTGAATTGGAACAAGCAACGGGAGCATATGAGCTGATTCGATTTCAATTCTGGTCCAATTTTGATCCGAATCCAACTCACTTAACCAAAATCGCGCCTTGTGCTGAACGTGGCGGGCTGGATGATGATATTTCTATTCTACTTGTTAGCATGCAAGTGCGCGCTGAACGTGGTGGGCTGGACGATATTTCTATTCTACTTGTTAGCATGCAAGTGTGCGCTGAACGTGGTGGGCCGGACGATATTTCTATTCTATGCACGTGTGGCGCCTAGAAGATATTTATAGTTTTTTTTATTATTTTCTAACTTGCTTGACATAATGTTATCAAATTATTATCCTAATACTTTAAAGCCTAGAAGATATTTATAGTTTTTTTTATTTTCTAACTTGCTTGACGTAATGTTATCAAATTATTATCCTAATACTTTAAAGTTTTTTTGAAACCAACATTTTTGGATACTTGTATATGTAAGTTTTGTTGTATTAAAATTCATTTTTTTATTTTTTTTGTTTCTATATATTGGATTGTATAATTTTGATTTTTTTGTTAATTTTTATATTATATTGTGCGTATGTTGCAGCAGTAGGGTAGAATTTCATATCGTTCAGTTAAAGTTACTATTAGACATATCAATTGTGTTTCCTAGTTATATTGTCCTTGCCGTTGTTTTTTAGCAACTTTGTACATGTATATGTATTTTTTTTTTGCCAATCTAAGGCAACAGGATAAAAAATAAATAATTTTTTTTTGCCAATCGTTCACAATCGCTGGCTCTCTGTCCTTCTCAGCCGCATACATTGCTGGGCCACAGGGCTGGTTGGGCGAGCGGCGAGCGGGGGCGGGGCAGCGCCGGACACGGTAAGACATCTGCGAATCCTCTATTCCTCTTAGAAACGGACACGGTAATCGGAGGGAGCGTCCGTAAGGCCAGTCTCAACGGTGGATAATGACCTGCTAGGTATGTAAAATATTGATACGGTAACGTAGTTAATAAAAAAAAAGAATAAAAATTATAGAAATTGATTTTCTTACGAGGAAAACAGGTTTTCTCTTAACTCAATGCATCCAGAAACTATGAAATCGTTATTGGGGAGAAACCACCAGTTTCTAGGGGGACTTGTGTCGCACTTCTATTAGAGTAAGAAGATAGAGTTGAGAGAGAGAAAGAGAATAATTATTACTCATAAAAATTATAGGTTGAAAAGTAATATTTTTTTTTGTGTAGTATCCTGTACAGTATTTTTTTTTTTGTGCGGTACAACTACTGATTTCTTTCGTCGGAGCGGCGAGACACGGTAATCGGCGGGAACATCGATAAATATAGACGCTCCGTTACCGCATCGCACTGCTTTCCCTTGCGCCCGGTTCCCAGCCCGTCTCGTCCCCTTGCAAGTCGCATCCGCTCGCAAAGGGCGCCGCCTCCGCCTCCGCCTGGCGATTCGAGACCTCCGGAGATTGGGCCGCAATCGCCGCCTGGGTGAGCCGCGCCATCCTGCCGGCTTCACCTGCTCCCTTGCGCTGCGGCGTCGCTGCTGACCGGCGGTTGCCCGTCGGGGACCTCCAGATCCAGCTTCCACACAAAAGCGGAAGCTTTGCGTCACTCGGCCGCCTTAGCACACCTGCCGTGGGCGGGCCCATGCCGACTCCGTTTAGAGCTGCTCTCCTTTCATCTCGCCCAGGTAACCCCAAAGCTCTCTGATTCGTGTGCTCTCGTCACTGCATCCTCTCGTTTCGTGAGCTGGTGAAGTGGTGATGCTTGAAGCATCTAATCTAATGATTAAATCTGTGGGTTATTGGATTTGTGGATTGAATAAGTTTACGCACTGCTGTAATCTTCTCTGTCCTGCTGATATCACAATGAAATAAAATGGCTTGTTGCAGTGTACATTTTTTTTTGGTAAATTGTATGTAGATGATAAACAGCAAAGCAGTAAGCGATGCAGGACAAAACAGTATTTTATTTTCATAGGTATTTGACTAGCTGCTCGTAATATTGGATTTGAGGGATCTCTGAATGCAGTCGGGTTCTCTCTCCCCTCTCTGGGTGTGGCGGGGCGGGGCGGGTTTACAAGGGAAAGCGGGTTGGGGCGGGGAGGGACTTGCGGCGTCGTCCTCCCGATCTCCCGTGCTCGCACCGCGGGGAAGGGAAATAGAAGACGGCCGCCGCCAGCCCGCCATTGTCTTCGCCGACGCCTCCGCTCCGGCGTGTCCTCCAACAGCGAGAGCAGATCCAGGTGCCCCTCCTCCAGAACCGCTCCCCTGTCTTCTTCTTGGCGTCATCCACTTCTCCGGTTCTCCTTCCCCTTCACTTTCTGTTGATACAATTCAGCGATTGGATTGGATTGGCCCTTTCCCCATCGGCGACACTTGGAGCAGCAGGCATGAGAGGAGGAGGCCTTGAAGGCGAGAGGCGCCGCCGGCGGAACCCACAACCACGGTGTGGTTTGGGGCGGGTTTAGTAGTAATAAAAAATTTGGGTGGAGTCGGGGCGGGTGAAGATGTCCTCTGACAATGGGTAGGGGCGGGTGTGGCAGGGACCTCTGACGTGCTGCTCTGCAGTGCAGGGACTAATAAGGTTTAACATTCTATAGGAGATTAGGAACAATCCATATTTTATTGCCATTTTCCTCTGGTTACAACAGTAAAATAATCCTTAGACCTCAACATTTTCTTGTTTTGAAACACATCTGCATTGGAATGGAGCATTAGGAATATCAAAGTTGAATAACCTATTTTATTTTTGTATATATATATATATATATATATATATATATATATATATATATATATATTGATATATAAAGGATGCATCTTCGATTCTTCGTACGCTCTTGCATATGTGCTATGCTGATGCCACCACTTTGCTGCTTGTAGGTTCTATGAGTATTAGCATTTTAGCTAGAAAGGAAGACATGGAGAATAGGAATTCTCCAGCAAAGAGAATAAGACTGACGCTTAGTAAACAGACAGACTTACTTGGGTTTAATTTATTGTCACTTCCTGAGGTATGTAAAATCTCAACATGAACTCTATATCCTTTATGTTTCGAGGGGATGCATGCTGATTTTTGTTCAAAAACTTACTGCCAGGATGTTGTGTCACGAATTATAGCATGCATAACACTGAAGGAAGCTGTACGAATGAGTACCGTATGCAGCACGTTGAGAAAAGCCTGGATTTACCATCCTAATCTTGACTTTGATATTTCTACAGTGCCTGCCAGTAGTCGGCATAATATAATGCAGGGCCTTAAGAGGTTTATTGACACAGTTAATTTTGTCCTAAGGGAACACAGTGGTTTAGCTTTGAACAGATTGGCTGTGAACTTTGAATTGCATAAGGAACATGCACATGATATTGATGGATGGGTTTCCTTTGCTATCTCATCAAAGGCAAGGGTTGTGGTGCTCAATTTTTCTCCATATCTGGGACAACATGAAAATAATTATAGCTTCCCATGTCATCTTTTTAACAACCAAAATTCATCTCACCTTGAGGTCCTTCGACTTGATAGTGTTACTTTGGATCCAAGTCGAGAATTTTGTGGCTTTTCAAATCTTACAACACTTGCTCTGGAGCATGTGCTTATATTGCAAGATTTACAGTACTTTTTATTGAGATGCCCTTTATTGGAGTGGCTAACCATCCGACGATGTCCGGAGCTACATAATTTACATGCTGCTGAACCATTGCAGCAGTTGAAATTTCTGTGTGTCCAAGATTGTGCTGTCCACAGGATTGATTTGCTTGCCCCTAATCTCAGAGTGTTTGAGTACAGGGGTGGTTCAAAAGTGCTTTTCGCACTTAGCGAATGCCTGAAGCTGAAGACAGCAACTGTTTCATTTTTCGTTGAGGATAACCTTGGATATATTTTTACTGAAATTCCAAAGGGATTGCCTCATATTGAGACTCTACATGTTGAAATGACTGTGAAGACTCAGGTATCATTTTTCGATGCGCTTCATAATCTCTAGTCGAGTGATAATGTTTTATGTTCCGTATTTGTTTCCTTTACTTACCATTTCATCTTTTCAGATACATGGATTTATGAAGGCTCCTCTCAGATTTATGCATTTAAGGAATTTGATTATGAACATAACCTTTGGAAATGTTCAACGATTGGGTAAAAATGCAGTCCTTCAATTAGGTTATCTTTTGGAAGCGGCTCCCTTTTTGGTGAACCTTCATGTGGATGTAAGATTTTATTCCATCTGCTTGTTTTCCTGTTTTGTTGTTGTAAATCCTCTTTGTTCTCTTAGTATACAGTTCCTAGACTTACTATACATGATGTTTACTGGCTTATAACGTGCAACTATTGTCTTAGCCAAAGTTGTGGAAGATGACAAACCAGAAACCACCCTACTAGTTCAATTTCTGAAAGTATTATCCAGGCTAGATAAGTGTGTAATGCTGCAGCCTAGGGAGTACTGGCATGTCAAAATTGATCATTTTGATTGTATATTTGCCACTATAATGGTTTCTTATTTTGCACATGATTTTCATGCTATTAGTTTATTTTCACTGACAATATCACGGTGTCAAATTCTGTGTAGATGTACTGCAGATTTGAATCTGAGTACCGCCCTAAAAAAGGCGTGATTGCGGATCACCCTCACCGTAACCTGAAGGATGCCTGCATAACCGGTTTTAATGGCAATGGAGGCCAAGTTGCGCTGGTAAAATATATCCTTCGCAACGCCATACAACTGAAGCGTATGGCTGTAGATCCGAGAAGAAAAATACTGGGGCAACTGGTAGAAGAATTTGATGGCCGGATGATAGCCGAGTCAGAACTGGTGCCACATGACAGGAAAGGCGTTTTGACAATTTTGGGGTGATACCTACATGTAGTTTATGGCCATTCGACAAGCCTTTGATTAATATATACTAGCATGTATATGAATAAGGACAAGATAATTCTGAGTAGCTGGCTGTTATGTACACATTACATCTCAGATGAATAAGGACAATATAATTCTGAGTTACTGTTGGCTGCTTTGTAGACATTACATCTCGGATCAGTAGCATGTATGTATGAACAAGGACATGATAATAATTATCATCAACAATCTGTCCAAGCATCATATAAATTATTCACACGTTGCCAGTAACCTTGCAAATTACTCCAATTTTGACATATGTGGATATATTTGATTTTACATCAACGGAAATCTAAAGCCTGTTGTCCAAAAAAAAAAAACACTGGCAATCTAAAGCCATGTTAAGATGGCTGGTTCTGGGCTTGTTTGGCTGTATTTTAATCCATTCCAATTCACATGTACCGGAAGGAATTGAGGTGAAAAATAAAGTAATTTTTACCTCATTTCCTTCGATCTTTATAGATTGGGGTGGTTTAGACTGCAACCATATATAGATTAGGGTGGATTAGACTGCAACCAAATAAACTCTTAACATGGCAAGGGCTAATATCATACACACTCGAGAATAAAGCTGTTCCAAAATTTCTCTAAGCCTATTTTACATTTATCGCTAAGGTTCCTCCATGCAAGTGAAACCCCAAGACCCCTTTAGGCTAATTCCATACACACTCAAGAATAAAGCTGTTACAAAATTCCAAACATGGAAAGGGCTAATATCATACACACAGCGGAGCCGTGTTGTTTTTTTGCTGGAGAATGTTATTTCTGTGAAGGAAAAAAAAAAGTGGCGTGGCCGATGCAAAACTACACGTCGAGACGTCGAGTTGGATTGCGTGTGGGGACCACGGAAGAGGGGGAGTGAGGCAGCCAACCACCAACTTCACGGGCGCGGCCACACCGGCAGGCGACAGGCTTTGGGTTGGCGTGCCGGGCCGGGCCATGCCAGCGGCGGCGGCGGCGGCGGGCGAGAACCAGACGCCCACGCAACGCAACGCCATCCAGATAAGAATATCTCCCATCACTCCATCATCATCATCAGTAGATAGATAAACCCCTGCTCTCCAAACGGCCCCGAAAAGCGCAGAAAGAAAGAAATCCACGCCACAGCCAAAGAGCTACGTACATTTCTGCTTGGGCTTGCCGCTGGGCTCGCCGTCCTCTACTCACTTCACCTCACCGTGCTCGCTTGGTTGCCCTCCACGCAAACGCAACAGCAAGGATAGATAGTCAAATCAACTTGCTACGCTCCACCGCCCGCCCCCGCGGAGCGAGAGCCACAGCCATCCGCCCGTCGCACGCGGAGCAGAGCCGCCAGCCAAATCTATCCCCACCGCCCCAGCCACCACCCGCCCGCGCGCAATGGAGGACGCCACCGCCGCCCACCTCCAGGCCCAGCGCCCGCCGGGGCCTGCGGCGGCATCGCCGTCAACCCCACCGCCGCCGAGTACGTCCACGGTGCGTCGCTCTACCTCCCTTCCCTTCCCCCGTGTTTCTGCCGTCAGCTTCCGTTCCGCTCCGCCGCCGCGAGCCGTTCGTCCCAACTTCCTCTCAACGATTCACAACGGAAAGTACAATACAACCGGCAGCTCGGGGATACTAGATAGATAGACAGGAGGTAGATGTCGCGGCTGATTCATGATTAACTTCTTTTTCTTTTTTACTACTACTACTCCATCCAGGATGCCTGTCAGCGTCAGGATCCAGTCAACTCTTATTAGTAAGGCAATCTTGGCCTCTTTGGGGTGGAAGATTAGTTTCAGTTGTGTACTGCACTTGCACTACTGCTGCGCATCCAACATTAATTAAGGCAATCTTGGGGAGGGGAAATTTAGTTTCGGTTGCTTTTAGAAAGCAAGGCCACTAGTCTACAACATCATATCTCTCTAACATTCATGCCCACAAGGCCACTACAACCAGACTCGAAATACTAAGGATACATGGATATATATGATACTGCTGCTACTGCTACCTGTTCAATACACAGTACATTCGTTCCTTCCTTCCCAGTGCCCACTGCCACCCTATCTCTGCTCCATTTCAACTTGCGCCTTGTTTGGGTTCACGGTGCAGCAGTTAGCATTGTCCTCCCAACCCTGATAACAATGCACACCTCCAATTTCAACAACAGTGTCCACCTCAGAAACACATTACCATTACTGACCACTCTACATACCCTTTTCAGCGCAGGGCTACAGTGTCGCTCTCCCTGAGAAATTGCAAACCGGCAAGTGGAACGTGTACCGGTACGTGCTTCGTGTTGTCATAAGCTATGTACAGTGTTGTTCTGTGGCTCCTGTGCTGGCTCATGGTTCCTGTTGCTGTCTCGCAGGTCCGCGCGTTCTCCTCTAAGGTTGATAAGTAGATATCCTGACACCCCAGACATTGGAACGCTGCATGATAATTTCACGTAAGAAGCAGGGACAACCTCTATTCAATCTGACTTCTTCTTAGTTTTGTGTAAAGTTCTGTTCTTACTGACACCGTGATCAATTTACTGTTGGCATTCATTTGCAAACCCATTTGTATAAAATGGTGCTGCAGGTACGCAGTTGAGACATTTACAGACTCTAGATACCTGGGGACAAGAATCAGAACAGATGGAACAATCGGAGAGTAAGGATTAGCATACACACCGTATTATTGCCTGCAGCGTCCGTTTTATCCAGACTGATTCGTGCAAGTGACAAAATAATGTTGTAGCTACAAATGGATGACATACGGCGAAGCTAGTACCAGCAGGACAGCAATAGGTTCTGGTCTTATCTATCATGGATTTCGTGAAGTGAGTCGTCATGATCTGAACAAGCACTTGGTCCTTTTGTTCTTAACAAAACAGATATGTTGCGAGTATATCTGAGCTGACGTCAAACACATTTCTATTTGGAATCAGGGTGCATGCATTGGTCTGTATTTTATAAACAGACCCGAGTGGATTATAGTTGACCATGCTTGTTCTGCATATTCATATGTATCTGTGCCACTTTATGACACTCTTGGTATGTTCACAACACAGAATGACTATACTATAGGTCTCTTGGTCGTTCATGATTTGTCTAGTGACAGTTTTTGTTCATTTACATTTGTACTTTCAGGCCCAGATGCTGTTCAATTCATTGTGAACCATGCAGCGGTTGAAGCTATATTCTGTGTGCCTCAAACTCTAAGCATTGTGAGCTTTAATCACTTCTCTCTTTCAACCTTCGATAATTACTAGTGCCTATGATGAGGATGCATGTCAGAAGTCATATTAGTCCTAACTAGTGAGGCTGGAACTGCTCCAGGAATTCAGGCCATTCTTTTTTTGTACTAGTAAAACTCTGATAACAGGTTTCTCTAGAATATAAAAAACAATGTATAGTATGGTACAAGTGGGCAAGTGGTGCAGGCACATATGCATGAAATAGATGGTTAATCTTTTGGATATTGGGGCCTGATCTTAAATTAAGTTTTACATCCATAAAGAATTTTTTTTGTTCTTATTTCGAAAAGCTACATTGGTTTATTGATGCCATTTAGCTTTTCACTTTATATTATTATAGTATTATGTCATTCTAGATTTAAAAGACGTCGACAGAACTTACGACTATTATTTTACTCATGGTTATCTATTGATTGCAGCTGTTAAGTTTTATAGCTCAAATGCCATGTGTTCGGCTTATAGTGGTAAGTCTGGACTGCTTACTGTTGACAGACACAATGTAACAGTCATGATTATTCTTTTTTTTTTGCGAAGAACAGTCATGATTATTCAAGGACCTTTCCTCCTTAATTTCCTAGTTTCTTTTGTCTAGGTAGTTGGTGGAGACGATGCAAATATGCCATCAACGCCAGTTACTACCGGAGTGGAAATCATAACTTACTCCAGGCTGCTCATCCAGGTGCTCATGATTTTTTTTGCTCATCCTTGAGTTTTGCTCATGATGATTTTTTTCTTTTAACTATTTCAAACACTACATAAAGGCTACCATGGTATAAGTTCCTTCTCATAAACTGCTTGATTTTACTGTAGTGGATACCCTTATTTCTCAATGTACCTGAACTTAAGGAAATTTTGATACAACCGCATGGCAGCCATTTTCATTGTCATTAATCTGGAATGGCCTAAGTCAGATTTGTAGATGCACTCAAATATAAGTATCCCATTTCCTTCTGGTTCCCTGTTTTCTTCTTATTCTTTTTCTTTGCCTACGTGCTTCAAGAGTTTGGCCCTTACAAAGTTGATGTGATTTAACACCTAAGCCACACATAGTACTTATGTTATATATTATGTCCCTAGATTTTATGCATGGGATGCCATGATTTCTTTTCCATCCTTTGTTGGGTGGAAGTTAGATCTATCTAGAATGCAAAACTGAATCTTCCAGTTCAGATTAACCTGACATGGGACGATGTTTGTATCTGCATAAATGTGTATGTGTTTCCATATTAATTATTTTATTTATAGAATTTGAATGTTTAAGTTGTTAATACATTGCCATTGGTGTTTTAATTTTGAATAAAGAAGGGCACATCACCTTCTGTTTTCCACTTGCTCCTAGATATTGTGCGCCCCTGTTTTCCTTAATCCTTCAATTCTTCAACTCAGGGAAAGGCTAGTCCTCAACATTTTCGTCCTCCGAAGCCTGAAGATGTTGCCACTATCTGTTACACTAGTGGCACTACGGGCACGCCAAAGGTAAATCAACCATCCTTCTGATTATTCTTTGCTTCATCAGCAAAGTTCTTTTACTTGTACACTTGTACATTTCAGATCTGTGATGCTCGATATTATTTTTTTCTCTCAGGGTGTTGTTCTTTCTCATGAGAACTTAATTGCAAATGTAGCAGGATCAAGCCTGAACATTAAGTTTTACCCCTCCGATGTGTTAGTATTTTGAATATACACTCAAATAAAATTCTTTGTGCTTGAACAACTTATCCAATTCACATCAGCTCTTAACATTTGTGACAATAACTTTGTGGATCACTCTCCTCAGGTATATCTCATATCTACCTTTGGCTCACATCTACGAGAGGGTTAACCAGATTGCAGCACTGCACTGTGGTGTTGCCATTGGATTCTACCAAGGGGTATGCAGATTCAACTTTATTTGGAATGGTAGCTATATAACTACATAATTACAGAACAAATTTGATGTGCATTCTGAGAATTAATTAACACTAAACTACTAAAAGCACTGTGCACTTGAGTTGCTCTAGTTTGGATGACACTTTTTTTAAAAGCTTTGGACAATTCAGAGATAAGCTGTAGACCGGGTGTGAAGGATCTTTCATCGTCAATATTTTTATCAATTTAAATTCATTCGTAGCAGTTTTTATTTCCCTTGGTCACTGTAACCCTCCCCCACCATCCAAATACTTTTCCTTCTGTAGATTTCCTGTGTCCACACTGCACCAGTTAACTATACCCATGCATGGTTATCTCCCGTTTGTTTGCTGGTCTGTATGAAGCAAACATTTTATGTGGCATTTCTAAGTTATGCACCTGTACTTGCATCCCATAATTTTTTACCTACAAATCTACAATTATGACTCTTTGTCATCGTTACTTACTACATTAAATTCCAGGATAATTTGAAGCTCATGGATGATCTAGCTGCTTTGAGACCGACAATATTCGCAAGTGTTCCCCGGTTATATAACAGAATTTATACAGCGTAACAAACTATACCACTAACTTCTATGTTCGTTATAAATTATTAAAAAGTGATACGTTCTGTTCATACTACTAACTACTAGTTGCTTATTCGATTTGTAGAATTACAAATGCTGTGAAGGAGTCTGGTGGGCTGAAGGAAAAATTGTTTCATACTGCATACAATGCCAAGAGGCAAGCAATCCTTAAAGGTAAGAGCAGTATGCAGTTCATTGAAATTAGGTGCTATTACTTTCCTTTTTTGGATAACAGTTACGAGAATTTCTTCTGCATCCATAGTGAAGCATAGGATCGATACAGTCAATCAGTCTTACATGGATAATTGGATACGCACAACTTACTAACTTTGTAAAATAAATGGTAAGGAGATCTCCTGAGTAGAAAGGAATAGGTGAGCGAGGGCTCAACCAACCCCTCCCCCCTTCTATTTCCCGGGTAGCTAGGTTCCTTTTCCTTTTTTATTGACATCTATCACTTTTTCTCTGAAAGGGCCGGCAAGAGCATTGACCAAATCTGTATGGAAGAAAATGGTTGATGTTCCAGTAGTTTCTAGTAAGATACTTCTAGTGGATACACAGCTCTCCTGCGTGTTCAGGAAAAAAGAAGTAAATACTTCCTCTGTTTTCAAATAATTGTCACTGTAGACTACCACTTAATAATTTCCAAATGACTGACTTAGGTAAAATAAACATGTAATTGGTAGATTTGATATAGATAGTACTATAGTATTAGTATATATAAGAATTTAAATATGGACTAACTAAAAGAATGCTGGTCAAATTTACAATAGCAAAAGTCAACAATGACAAGTATATAAACAAGTGGGAAGTAATATACCTTTTTTTTCTTTGTTCATGTTTGCATTATCTAGTTTGGTATATACCTTATCATCTTTAGGATGACCTCAGTATCCTAATACCAGCCTGGTTTTACTTGGAAAATAGAATACTTTGTGCAAACCAATAACATTGGTGCAAACCTTTCTTTTGTTTCCATGTATACTTTTGAAGCAAGAATGTGGTGCAGCTGACCATTTGGGTTTTGCTGTGCAAATGACATTCACCTAAGATTAGTGGCCACTAATAGAATGGAAAGGGCTTTTGTATTTTCTTCAGGACTTTAATATATAGCACATAGTCATAACTTGTGTTTGAGAAATTTAAAATAGTAATCTTCTTGGTTTGTTTATTTATGTTAATTAGAAAAAAAGCGAGTCAGTCTAATTTTACATTTTGATGCCATCTTAATACAGTTTTCATTGCATGTATGCACAATGAAATGTCACTTCTATACTTTGTGCTATCAGGGAAAAATCCATCCCCAGTGTGGGATAAGTTGGTATTTAACAAAATTAAAGCTAGGCTTGGTGGACGAGTGAGACTTATGAGTTCAGGTGCTTCTCCACTGTCAGCAGATGTTATGGAATTCCTTAGGATGTAAGTTGTCTTCTTCTGAGCTCTCCTGGATGATTTTTGGAACTTGGCTTAATTACAATTACTGTTTAAATTTCTATAGATGCTTTGGTGGTGAAATTCTTGAAGGCTATGGAATGACGGAGACATCTTGTATCATATCTGCAATGGATGTTGGTGACAAATCAATTGGGCATGTTGGATCCCCAATTGCATCTTGTGGTAAGCTCTTGTATTTCAATTTCAAGGATACAATAAATTCGCTTGGGTAGCACTTGCACTTGTTTTGAAAATATTGTCCATGAATTCAACTATACATAGAGAATCCATGCTAAAGTTAGGATGCCTTTATTTGTTTTAATCTTTTTTGGATGTTACTTATATTGATGATGCCATGATGGTGGTACTTTCAAAATCCAATAAATGTCCACTGAAATTAGTTGCATTGGACAAACTTATCCTTGAATTATTGTTTCTATGCCTTACATCCAATATTTTTCAAGGGTTATTTTTAAGTCTAACGTGCTTGAGATCATCCATTTAGCAAGGTCCTGTAGTCACCATGTTGAATGGATGATGTTTCTGGTATAAAACTAGCCTGTTTCTTGAGAAAGATGCCAATATTATTTACCATGACACTAGTCAAATGACAGCCATATTCTTTCCCTTTCTATTTTCAGAGGTGAAACTTGTGGATGTCCCAGAAATGAATTATACGTCCGATGATCAACCTTATCCTCGTGGAGAAATTTGTGTTAGAGGACCCATATTATTCCGTGGTTACTATAAAGATGAAGTCCAAACGTAAATTTCTATCCTTCACTTAAAATTTACCCTTGTACTGAATGAGCTTCAATTGCAATAGATCAATAAATACATTTAAAAAACTACAGAAAAGAAGTCATTGACAAAGATGGTTGGTTTCACACTGGAGACATAGGTCTGTGGCTACCTGGAGGGCGTTTAAAGATTATTGATAGGTAAAAATATGCAGTGTTTTTATATTTTAGCTTTTCTTTTGGAATTAAGATAATAAGGTTACCATGTTTTGCTCTCATTAGGCCACGATAAATTGCAATTTATAATTTTAGTTCTCTTGGACTCTCGACACAACATTCATGAATCATCATAAAATGATCTCTACAGCCTTTTGAATCTAGGGCTAGAATAGACCTATCTGGTGTGACGTTCCAAGTTTGAACTAGTTCTTCATAAGGAGAAAATTTTATTAGACAAATCTGATTCAACAAACCAAAGCTTGCTGGAAACTCTTTTTTTTTCTACTTTCATGTCCATACATTTTCCATTATAATGTACTTGATAGCATATTAATAGAAATAATATTAGTAGCATAATTTAAATAGATCCTAATGACAAAGCTAAATCTATATAGCCTTGCAAAGCTACATAATTGAATTGGAAAATATGAACGATGCAGCCCATCCAAAAAATAATTGAGTTATTGAAGATCCCTTCATTTTGCTCTTGCCAGTTTTTTTTTTATGCGACCAAATAACCAAGGAATCAAAACCTCATTATCTGTTCAGAACTTGTGGTCTTGCAGAACACTTTTCCTTGGCTATATTGTTGATATACATTTTCCCTTAGGCGCTGTTTTATCTCACTTTTTTTCTTCCCATGTTACTAATGCCTTACATTTTCTCCTGGATTCTAGGAAAAAGAACATTTTCAAGTTAGCTCAAGGAGAATACATAGCTCCAGAGAAGATTGAAAATGTTTATGCCAAATGCAAGTTCATTGCCCAATGTTTTATATATGGTAATATTTATGATTTTATGTTGGCTATATGATCATCAGTTATGGCCATGCATGTTTTAAATCTCTTCTTTTGGATGCAGGTGATAGTTTAAACTCTTCGTTAGTTGGTATTGTTGCAGTTGAACCAGAGGTTTTGAAGGCTTGGGCTGCATCTGAAGGGATCCAGGTAAAAGATGTTAACCATAACGTTTGCCATCTATTTATTTCATCCTTCAAAAGAAATGTCTGTAAGTAGTTTGGCACTGATCTAACTTATAATAATGAAAACTGGCATTCATTTTGCATCTTATGCTTTGGTTGAATCATATATCGAATGGAACTGTGGCAGTCTCTTCCACTCCCTCTTAGCATGGCTATTGAACACTGAATCCTCTGTTTTGTAGTCCAAAGGAAGTGTAGATCAGGTGGAATTTTATTAGTTGCCATCCTATAGAGCCAGTGTACTTTTCAACTACTTTGCCGCCCAATAGATTGGACTAGATAAAATATCATCCAAATTTACTGTGTTATTGTCACTTGCACATTCCTGACCTTCAAGCAAGTCTTAACATTTGCACAGGTTTTTTATGCTCTAAACTGTCCTTTCTAACATGTAGTGCGAAGACTTGAGACAGGTTTGTTTTGACCCTAGAGCAAGAGCTGCTGTCCTGGCTGATATGGATTCTGTTGGGAAGGAAGCGCAGGTTTGTCTCTTCTGTTCTGACCTACATAGCAAAATTCTAATGCTCAATCCAAGTGAAACTGTTGTGCTGCTATCGTTTATTGACTTTCTGTGCCCTGTTGTACCAGCTAAGAGGTTTTGAGTTTGCTAAAGCTGTTCGGCTTGTTGCTGAGCCATTCACAGTGGAGAATGGTCTCCTCACCCCAACATTCAAGGTAGGCCCGCCCCGCTGGTGACTCTAGAGGAAATTTACAAACGGATGAAATGCTGAGTGGCTATAGCTCACACTCCCATCCTAATACTTTTGCAGGTCAAAAGACCGCAAGCTAAGACGTACTTCGCAAAGGAAATTTCAGACATGTATGCAGAGCTGCGGGAGGCAGAGGCACCCAGGTCGAAGTTGTAATCGCCCGTGTAATGATCAGAAGAAGCAGCGATAAATATATACAGGCTTATTACTAATCTTTTACTGGGGCGCAGCAAATAATGGTTCCTGCAATGATCAGGACGAAGAATGAGGACTTGTACCACACGGAGGCAGTGCTTGGACTGCAGAATGAATTGATGGTCCTCGTTATGAACTTAATAGAAATGAAATGCCGACTTGCCGAGTACATGAACTTTTGCCATTGTCCAACGTGCCACGTTAGCCTTGAATGGAAGATACATCATAGGAAAAAAAAATGTTCTGCAAATGTAAACAGTAAACAGTTCGTTGCGAACTGTAAGAATGTCTCTCGGTTGTATAGCAAGTTCGGTATTTTCTTTTTTCCTGTGTCGTCGTCGACACAGTTCAACATCGTGGTGTAGTGTTCATCTTACATAGCAAGTTGATTGATTGGCACGAGCTGGAAGCTGACGAATACAAAACATGAGAGTCGGTGTATATGGTATGGAATGGCATCATGCCTTATCATGTACGGACGGTAGAAAGCAGAAACGACTGCAAAGTTTCAATTGACTGTGGGCATGGAGTCTCCTATGGGCCTCAAAGTCCAGGTCCACTTCATCGTGTCGGCCCATCCCCATGGCAGGCAGCGACGGCGACTAACATGGGCTGAACTTGGTTGGTGGGACCCATCAACCCATTCCTAACCCAGCCCAACGATAAGCCGAGGCCAACCCGTTCGAGAGCGAGAAGGCCGTCTACAGCGGCACACCACACCACTTCTTCCGTCTCTCGCCTCCGCTTTTGCTCCTCCTCCAAGCCCCACCACCCCACGAGCTCGCTCGCGCCTCGCGGCCACCGCCTCCTCCTCCTGCCGCAGGTACGCGCCGCCGCTCCTCCCCCCTTCTCTCTCCCCACCGTTCGAGTACCCCGCACTCGCCGCGCTCGCGCTTAACTCCTCGTGCGTCTCCCGATCGCGCTACTATTATTGCAGGCACATGGCGCCGTCCAGGCACGCTGACGAGGGCGGGCAGCTCCAGCTCATAGACGCCGACAGGGTCGAGGACGAGGAGGAGTGCTTGAGTCCATCGACAAGCGTACGTCGCGCCCTCTCCCTCCCTCCCCTCCCGTCTAGCTCTGCGCGCGCGGCCTCCTATCCTACCACCCTGACGGATGCTGCAGACTGCAGTCGCCTCCCCCACTGCGGGCGGATCGCTTCCGCCTTCTGACGTTTCGCTTTTGGGTTCGCATATTTCGGTCCGAGTTGGTGTTTGTTTCGAAGCGAAGTTGGTGCGCTTTATATGGCTTGGGCCGGGGTCGGCATTTGTTTGATTTTGTTTGGTGCGCGTAGTTGGGGTTTTGCGTTCCTTCTGATTTTCCCCCAAAATTAGTTTTGGGTTTCGCTGTTCATGGCATGAGTTCGTGGGGTTCTAGTATTCCCCACCCCACGTTTGATCGAAATCCTGCGGCTAGTTCGTTTTAATCAGTGTGTGCTACCGTTGCTTCTGCATAGATTGGTCGGAATTTGGCCTCAGTCTGAGTTGACGACCTCACTCTGTCAAAATGATCAGCATATTGCAGTCGAATTCGAAATTAGCTCGTACTATCCTGAGACTTTTGTGTGAAATACTTTTTCTAGCAATTATTTTTTATCTCCGTTTGTGTCGTACCACCTTGATCGATCGACGCTCCAGTCGCCGAGCACGGCAGATCGCTTCTGCATTCTGCCGTTTTGCTTTCGGATTCGGGAATTTCGGTCCGTACTGGTGCTGCTTCGAAGTGAAGTTGGTGTGATTTCAGCTTGGTCTCAGCATTTGCTTGGTTGTTGTTGGGTTTTGTGCGTAGTGGGGGTTTTGCGCCCCTTCTGATCCCAAAATATCGAGGGTTCTGGGAATAAACAATAAACTAGTGTTTGCGTCGTGGCATGAATTGGTGGGGTTTGTTTCCCCACGTTTGATTGAAGTTCTGCGGTAAGTTCGTTTGAACCAATGTATGCTGCATAGATTGATCTGAATGTAGCCTTAATCTGAGTTCATGAGTTTATTCCGTCAAAATGATGAGCAAAGTTCAGTGCGATTTGATATTATCTCGTTCTATCCTGGGACTTTTGTGTGAATACTCTTATAATTTTCTAGAAATTACTTACAAATTGGAGCACTTGGGGCACAGAGTAGGCTTGGGCTCATATTCTGGTATTTTCTATTTTTGTTGTCCAATGCTGTTAATTTGGGTCTCAGCATATATAGTTCCTGCGCTGAAACTAATCTGTGTTGCATGCATCTGTTTGGCACAGTGATCTCTCAGGGGATAAATGCAGGAGACGTGAAGAAGCTGCAGGATGCAGGGATTTACACTTGCAATGGGCTAATGATGCATACTAAGAAGGTTCTGAACTATGCATCCCAACTCCCAAATCTTTGTTCTGTCTGTCTGAATTCTTGTTGCAAAGTGCTTAAATTGATATCTTTGTTTGTGGCACTTGCATGCTTGCTTTCATTTGTCCAGTATTTTGAACATATGACTATCGCTCTAATTTATGAATTGTCTTGCAGAACCTTACAGGAATCAAAGGTTTATCTGAAGCAAAAGTTGATAAGATCTGCGAGGCTGCTGAAAAACTTCTGGTCTGACCCTTTAAGTTGGTTTTGTTTGCTAAACTTCCATGCAATCAGTTCTGTATGATATGGTATCTTGAAATTGTCTTCTGTTTGTTTGTCACAGAACCAGGGCTTCATGACAGGAAACGATCTCCTTCTTAAGGTAAGAAAATTGCATTTAAGCTACTGATCAGTGTATGGTTTACCAATTTGGTGTTCTGATGAGTGATAGCCAATGCTTGACTGCTTGTAGTATGTAAACTAACTGACAAAGGTTGATTAGTTATTGAATCTGGTTGAGCACTTTTACTTCTCGTATGTGTTGTCCTTTAAGGCTGTTTGATTTATTTTGACTTGTTTGAAGCGGAAGTCTGTTGTTCGGATTACAACTGGGAGCCAGGCACTTGATGAGCTGCTTGGCGGTAATATATCTCAAATCTGTCATTTGATTAGTCATGCTATTATAATAATCTAATAGATGGGCATGTTTAAATTTGAAGGCGGGATTGAAACACTTTGCATCACAGAGGCGTTCGGGGAGTTCCGGTATGTTGATGTTCCTGTTGTTTCTTTTTCTCTGAAGTTCTGCTGCAGGAGCCATATTATGTGCATAGTTGATATTTATGATATGGGGCAACACTTGTAATAAATGTATTTAGGCTTAGATCAGTTATGTATTACTGTATTTAGGTTGATGATACAACCTTCTGAACCCTCTTGTACCATCTTTTTCTGTTGTCTCATCTTGCAGAGGTATTGCTAGCTAGCACTAGCAGAGCATCTTATAGCTTCTAATCATGCTTTTGCTTAATGTGAAGTGATTCATTAATTGCAAGCACTAAGGTGTGATCTCTGTTTTCTTACATGAAACAATTCTTTGTTGTATACTATTGCTGGGACTGGGAGCAATTTTCCATTTTATACAACACACAATCACGCACAAATCTATTACATGCAAATGAAAGAAACGTCTTAAGTATTTCCTGAGAATAGGCACAGTGAATGTTGACTTATGATGTGCTTTTGTAACTATATTTCTGAGTTCAGTTCTAGCTTTTTAGTTTGAAATACATGACATCTGGTTGTGTTGCAGGTCAGGGAAGACCCAGTTGGCTCATACCCTATGTGTCTCCACTCAGGTTTATCCCCCATATCAAATTTTGTAGATAGCACGTAAATATAGAAGAAATAGAATTTGAGGAAACAAAGAAGCAACAGAATTACTTTCTTATTTCCGATTGATGAAAATGCAGCTTCCAATCCACATGCATGGGGGGAACGGGAAGGTTGCCTACATTGACACTGAGGGAACATTGTATCTTTGGAATTTCATGAGTAATTTGTCATTGATTCTCTCAAGAGTTTATATTTATTCCTGTCATCTCCAAATTGTTTCCTTAATGAAGTTTTGAGCCGACCTGAACGCATTGTGCCAATTGCTGAGAGATTTGGGATGGATGCCAATGCTGTTCTCGACAATGTATAAAATTGCATGCACTTAATATTTGTCGTTTCTGTTAGCCAATTTCATGACTAATAGACCAAATTGGTTGTTTAATTTTATGTCTGTTTCTGGTTAGATCATATATGCTCGTGCATACACCTATGAGCACCAGTACAACTTGCTCCTGGGCCTTGCTGCCAAGATGGCTGAAGAACCTTTCAGGCTTCTGGTAGGCATGAAACTGTAATGTGCATTGAGTTTTGATAATCTCAGCTGTGCTCATGTGGTATTTCTATCGTCCTGAAAACAGATTGTGGATTCTGTGATTGCACTATTCCGTGTTGATTTCAGTGGCAGGGGTGAACTTGCAGAGCGTCAGGTATTCTCATCAATTCATTTCGATGGCAGTAGGTACCTTGTAAAAAATGTTGAAGGGTGCTGTTTTATCTGCTTGCTTATGTGTAACTGCTGTGAAATTGCAGCAAAAGCTAGCACAGATGCTGTCCCGCCTTACCAAGATTGCTGAGGAGTTCAATGTTGCAGTGTACATCACCAACCAAGGTGGGCTTTGTTATTTAGCACTGTATCAATTCCAAAAGTGTACACAGATCAATGGATTGCAAATTCTAAGCTGTCTCCCTTTTTGTGTTGCAGTGATTGCTGATCCAGGTGGCGGCATGTTCATAACCGATCCAAAGAAGCCAGCAGGCGGCCATGTGTTGGCGCATGCTGCCACCATCAGATTGATGCTAAGGAAAGGCAAAGGCGAGCAGCGTGTCTGCAAGATCTTCGACGCTCCTAATCTTCCTGAAGGAGAAGCTATATCCTTTTGGTTTGATGGCCCATGCTTACTGTTGTGCTAATGATCTCACCTTAGTTTCACAGCTTGCTAGAATCTAGCTAAATTTTCTTGCTTAGACTTGCATAGCAAACTCTAGTGATAGTGAAGCCTTACCTGTTAAGTGCTAAGTGCCAACTTCCATGACTGAATGTTTTAGATGATACAAATCATCAATGTGATATACATTTAACTTGTTTCCCTTGACCAGTAGCACGTTTTCCAGGTTACATCAGGTGGAATCATGGACGCAAAAGATTGATTTGGTTTTCCAGCCGGAGTGCTTGTGCTCAAAAAGATTGTTCATGTTTCTTCAGTAGAGTTCATAGATTGCATGGGTACACACCGAGAAAAGTTACCGCAGCGTTGCTCTGTTTTATCCTTTTGACATAGAAAGAGTAGGCAGAACTCTGTGTTGCTTAGGGCCTCCCATTGGGTTATTCGGAATTTGTGATGGAACCAGTTGTAGTACATGTTTATGGTTTCCCAAAATAGTGGTAGGCAGTGACCATCTTCTGTTAGTTGTTCATGCATAAAGGACAGGATGAACTCTGTGTTGCATAGGCCTTCCATGCTTGCGTAAATGGCACTGTGCTTCTTTCTTGTTAGTTTTGGTTTGACATTGAAGGGAAGGTAAAGATGATGCTCTTTTTTCAGATTGCAACTCTTGTTGGAACAGATGACCAAGCTAGTGCTGTTAATCTGTGTCTTGGTCGATCGGATTCCGGGCAGAGCAGACAGCAGAGTTCTGGGTTTGGGATTGTATTGTTTATTATTATTATCCCTGCATGCGCTGTATCATCCTGTCCTGTTGCTTTTCCGGTTCCTGACTTGCTGCTCCCTCTGGCACACAAGAGCTTGAGGCGGCAGTCAGCCAAAGATGCAGTCAGCCTGTCCTGTTGCTTTTTCCGGTTCCTGACTTGCTGCTCCCTCTGGTACGGGCGTGCTTCCACTTCCTGCTGCCTCTATCTGGCACAGAAGAGCTTGAGGGCAGAGACGTGGACTGACAGCCGAAGAAGATGCAGTTCCGAACTTGTGATGGAAGGCGTGAGAGCAGAGCAGGGCGAGTCGCCTCGGCGCAGTTGCGGTTGGCTTCCTCGGTTCCTCCTGTCTTGCCGATGAACCCACCGCCACCGGTCGAGGTGGACGCTCCTGAACCTGTCAACCACAACAAGGCTCTTCAATCTTCATTGCCTCGCCGTGTACACAGCTACGGGTTCTTCCAACTGCCGTCGCGGCGGCCATTGTGCATTTGTGCTACGGGCGTGTGTGTTCAAACACGCTGCACCAATGCCACCAAAGAAAGGACCATTCCTCCGGCTCCGATCCGTCGGCAACCTCCCCCCGTTGCGTTCAAATTCAAACTCCATACAAATCCCCTCCACAAAGTACTGTAAGCAATTCCGTGGGTAGTCAGTCAGTGGAGGCGGTCGTGTCAAACATTTGTCGATCCTGCCATCGATCCGCGGTGGGAACCCTAGATCAGTCAGATCGGAGTTGTTGTAGTCGGAGAGCGAGAGGATGGAGGGATCAGGCGGCGGCGCAACTTTGTGCCGGGATGCCATCATGGACGACGGCCTCGGTCTCGTGGACAAGCAGATGGAGCGCAAGCAAAAGAAAGATATCAGGGAGAGGGAGATTGTTGAGAGTCAAACCGAATTGATGGAGATGGAGGAGGAGGAGGGTATAAAGAGGATGCCGCCGTCAACCATTGTCAAGTATCAGACCTGGATCAGGTGCAGTTGTTATAGAGACTGCAACTTTAGCAGTCTCACAATCGTGGTCGTCCATATCGAATCCAAGGGCAAAACAACTCATCCTCCTTTCGTGCCTCATTTCACAAGTCCCCCGGCTCTCTGTTCCTTTGGAGGGAAACACCAGAAGGTTGGCGCCATTTTTCACTTTGCTGGGAGCGGAGCCGCGACCATCGCGAGGGAGGCCGGAGAGCTGCATCGCCATGGAAGCTCCAGGACCGCCTCCGCCATGCGGGGGCCTCGTCGGACCTGCCTCGCCTGCTCCTCCATCCATTGCCCCAACTCCTCTTCCCGTGAAGCACATCTCTGCCGCCTCTGCGCGTTCTGGATCTGCTGTCCTCCCGCATTCTCATTTCGTCGATGGTGGAGGCAGCAAGGTGTCCGCGTTGGTGCCAAAAAAGACGCGTGCGAAGAAAGCCGCCCGCGCCGTGCAGCCTCCCCGAGCTCCTGCGCGATCTCCAGCAGCCCCAAGCATGCAAGCAAGTGCCCAATAAGCTACTGATGCTGTTGCCATGGATGACGCCCAGCAGGTGTTCGAGGAATCGCCTGCAAGGTTTGTGCTCTGTTCCTACTTAGTTATTACTTCCTGCATGGTTAAAGTTCTACTACAAATGATGAGCAAATCTAGTTGGTCATGTTCTGAATGCATTATTTACAACTGCAGAGTTGCTACAATTCCTTTTTGATCCCACAAATTGGTATGACATTTAACAGTTTAGATGAAGCTTGGAACTTTTGGGTTACATATGGTGGCCGGATGGGTTTTGATGTTCGAAAATGTTACACAAACACAAGTCCTCTTGATGGATTGGTAACATCAAGTAGGTTTGTTTGTTCAAATCAGGGTTCATGGGCTGAAAATAAAAGCCTCAGTGTCAGCAAGCGTAATCGAGCTCATACAAGAACGGGCTGTAGAGTTTGCATGGGCATATACTTTTGAAAGAGAAAATAGGACTTACAAGGTACATGACTTATTTATTGAGCACAACCACATTCTCCAAACTGCTCAAACAAGTCATCTGATGCCATCACAGAGAAACATTTCTAAGCACCAAGCTATGGATATTTGAGGTGGCTGATGATTCTGGTATTGCACCTAAAGCAGCACATGAGTTTCTTGGTCGATATGTTGGTGGATCAGCTAACCTCGGGTACACCTATCGTGATCATAAGAATTATCTGCGTACTAAACGTCAAAGAGAGATGTTGTATGGCGAGGCTGGAAGTTTGCTGAAATATTTTCAAGATAAAGTTGTGGAGAATCCCTCATTTCAGTATGCAATACAAATGGACTGCGAAGAACAAATATCCAATATATTTTGGGCTGATGCAAAGATGATTGTTGACTATGCTCACTTTGGCGATGTCATCGCATTTGGCACTACCTTTGGAACCAACAAAGAATACAAACCATTTAGTATGTTTGTAGGTTTCAACCAATTTAGAGAGACAGTGGTTTTTGGTGCAGCTTTGATGTATGATGAGACTATTGAGTCGTTCAAGTGGTTGTTCAGTGCATTTTTAGCAACACATAATCAAAAGCAACCTCAAACCATTTTCACTGATCAAGACATTGCTATGGGAAAGGCAGTAGCTGCAATCTTCACCGGTGCATGGCATGGTTTATGTACTTGGCATATATCACAAAATGCATTAAAGCACTTGAGTTCTCAGAATGAAGAGGAATCCGAGGATGAGGAAGAGTCAACCATCCTAGCAGATTTTAGTTCTTGCATGTATGAGTATGAACAAGAGGCAGATTTCGAAGAAGCATTTGCGGCTATGAGAGGAAAAGTTAGTAAATCAACTTGGCTGGACAGCATATACATACTGAAACATAAGTGGGCTGAGTGCTACATGTTGGGGGTTTTTTCACTAGGAATGCGAAGTACGCAGCTAAGCGAAAGCTTGAATAATTCATTGAAAGGCCATTTGAAATCAGATCTTGACATTATTAGGTTTCTAAAGCGTGTGGAACATGTTGTTCAAGACAAGAGAGATAAAGAGTCACAGGCTGAATTTGAATCTAGGAAGAAGCAACCGAGGATTAGGATGATGGCACCTATATTGATACAAGGAAGTATGATTTATACACCTTCAATATTTGAAGTCTTTCAAGCTGAATATGAAAAGTACTTGGCTGCCTACACTGTAAGCTCAAATGGAAGTAATGAATTTGTCATTGCAATTGGTGCTCCTATAGGGACATCGATAAATGAAGAGGAGCACAAGGTTATAGTCAACCCATCCGATTAGATGGTCTCATGTAGTTGTCGACTCTTTGAGAGGATTGGTATATTATGCAGGCACGCATTGAAAGGTCTTGATTTGGTGAACATTAAGCATTTGCCTGAACGATACATTTTGAAACGATGGACTCGAGATGCAAGGTCAGGTATTATCCAAGATATGAATGGGAGGGAAATAGTGGAAAATCCTAAGTTAGATTCTACACTTCGGTACAAAAAGCTTTGCAAAATATTCAATCCATTGGCTTCACGAGCTGCTGATTTTGAGGACTGCTATTTGCTTGTGGAAGAGACACTTCACACTGCTAGTAAGCAGGTTGAAGAAAAAATCAAAGGAACTTCTAACATTAATGCTGAGAACTCTAGCGTTCAAGAAACATTCAGCTTACCTGAACAATATACACAAGTGGCTGGTCTAAAGAAGAAAGAAAAGTCGAAAGGTGGATCAAAACGAAAGAAATCTTGGACTGAAAAATTTCAGAAGAAAAAGAAAAAGAAAGGAAACAAGAACAATATAAGCAAACCTATGCAACAAGAAGATGGAAGTCATGTTCCAGAATCGCAAGCATATGAATCAATTTCTAGTTTTACCCAAATCCTTATGGTATGCTTACAGTTTTATTTTTCTATAAAAATAGCATTCTGTGTTTTGAGAGTAACTTCATTTTTTTTTTCTATTTTCTCTGTCTTTAGTTTGGTCTCTGTATTCCTCTCTGTTTTCAGAGTTCAAATGTTGTTCAAGAAGTCAGTATTTCTCCTTGGAAGGGATAGATGGCTGGGAACTTTAGCAAAACTTTAGTGTAAGTATAGGTCAATTATATAAGTTGAATTGTCTTGATAAATTATAATCTCTAAATTATTTTGTTTGCAGGCTGACCAAAGGCATGACTTATATTGGATGATACAGGTTTTTTTTTTTATATGAAATGGGGAAGACCTTTTATGTGCAAAAGGACCCCGATTAATCATACTCTCTTTTGTGTCAATCATATGCACTTTGTGGATGCAAGACTGCTGCTGGTTGATGGAAGCTTTTGTATATGAAATTAGAAATAGAGAACCTTGATATATAGAGAAGGATCTCAGTTTAGCATATGCCTGCTGCTGTATATGCAAGCTTTTGTATTAAGCTCTAAAATTGCAGCAAACACTTGTAGCATTTGCTCTATTTTATTGCATTATAAAATATATATATTTTCTTCTCTGTTATTTGTAATTTCTCCTAAAGGAGTAGATGCTAACAGCAGCACTTGGGAAGGGAAGGAGAAAAAAAATTGGCTTTGATCCTAGCCATTCATGGCCTATTGAATGGGTCAGATACAACTACTGCATAACTTGCAGTAGCAGTTCTGACTGCACCTGATCCAGGTCCTGAAGTATGGTACGTAGGATCGATTTGATCCATCCAGGGATTAAGAACCTGATCATGTATATGTACGTATTCCTCCCCCTGCCCCTTTAATTTGTTCGTTATTACTACTGAAATCTTACTTTGTTCTACGCTATGATATGATGTGCTATTTTTTTTCCCTTCATGCTACTACTGCCTTTCTCAGTAACCTCGCCATTTTTATCTATGTATTGTTCTACATACTTTTCTCATGATTTCTTTTTAATGGTACCTTTTTACTTGTTTCGAAAGATCTCCTGGAAAAAAACATGGGGATGGGACAGGCTGCTACCATTCAGATGCGTGTCGTGGTCTGACTATAGCAAGTACCTCGAAGATTATTACCGTCGCAATGCTGCTGGTCAGCTCGTCGTTCCTAGTGCTGCTGCAGTTGCTACGGGTAGCAGAATAGCTGCTCTTGCTGATATTGTAAGTAACCCCCCTGCCCCTTTATTAAACCACCCAATCATATCCTCCTCCTACTTTTTTTACACGCTTATATATCTTCTTGACGTCTTTGACGATGACATTCCTGAGGAGATTAACCACAGCCGCATAATACGGATCCGAACCTTGTATGCTATGATTGACATGCTGTTGAAGCCTTCTTTTGCTGCTGATGGGAACAAGATTGGTAAGGAAGAATCTGCTAGTATTGATGGTCCTAGTGGTGATGGGAATGGCATTGCTGCTGATGAAGCAACAAATATTGCAAGAGTACGTCTTCCTTTCCTTCCTCCAGGATGCTTTGATGATGCAATGGCACATGATTTATTTTGGCTTGTTTGAAGCAGAAGTCCGTTGTTCGGATTACAAATGGGAGCCAGGCACCATATACCTTAAATCTGTCATGTGATCAGTCATGCATTATAGTAGTCTAATCTAATATATGGACTGTTTAAATTTAAAGGAGGGATTGAAACACTTTGCATCACAGAGGCATTTGGGGAGCTCCGGTTCTTGTTGCTGTTGTTTTTTTTTTCTCTGAAATTCTGCTGCAGGAGCCATATTATGTGCATAGAATGTTATGATATGGGGCCACACTTGTAATAAATGTATTTAGGCCCAGCTCAGTTATTATGTATATTAGTGTCTTTAGGTTGATGATACAACCTTTCCGGCCCTCTTGTACTGCCTTTTTTCTTTTGTCTCATCTTCCATAGGTATTCCTAGCACTAGCAGTGTATCTTATAGTTTGTAATTATGCTTTTGTTTTCTCTAAAGGAACAGTATATGAAACAATTCTTTGTCGTATTCGATCGCTGGGACTGGGAGCAATTTGCCATTGTATCATTGTATACAACAAACCTCTTAAGTATTTACTGAGAACCTAGCTATAAACATTTGAGCAGGCCTGCTCTGCATATGCTATATGGAATATCTCGTAAAAAGGAAAAAGAAAAAGAGAGAGTAGAAACTAAGTATAAGAAGGAAGTAATTATCGCCAGCTCTCTCGGTGGCCTATACACGCAGGGGAGGAGGAGGAGCATAGACACCAGACAGACAACAAGTGATACGATGCATTTGGGTAGTGCAGTTAAATCCGATAGGACTATCGGCTGTGGGATTACCGATACGTTTTCAGTCCTGTCGGCCGCTGGATAGCCTACAGGATGCTAGTTTGCAATTTCATAAAAACAATATCTAGAACTGCAATTGTTTATTAAAAATAATATTATTATTTCAAAAAGAAAATCCCTGATCCCGTCTCGTCCCGTTCCGTGCTCAGCTTTCTGCGGCTGGGACCAGCAGAGGAATCCGAGGGCCAAATCGTAAAAAGTCACCCGGCACCTGCCGCACTGCCGCACCGGCGCGCCAGTCTCCGCCGCCTCTCCAGCCTCCACCCATCTCCGAGCGGCGCCTCCGTGTCGTCTCCCACCGCCCCTCGGGTTTCCCACCGGCACACGGCCCCGGCACTCCGGTTCCCGCCGCGGCGCCGTCCGACGCTGCCGCCGTCGGCCTCCACTCCCGTCTGTCAAGCTCCGTTGCCTCGCTCCTTCCCATCTTCTGCCGCCGTAGCTGCTGTGACCAGGTACCCTAAGACCGAGTCTCCGGGCGAGTCTGTGAGCCGCGCCTATAGTTTTTGCCTTTTTTTGCGTCGTGGTTCTAATTTCACCCCCAAATGATTTAGGGATACAGAAGAGAGGGAGAGAAGATGTCGTCGAAGAAGAACTACTATAAGGAGAAGATGATGCGGCGGAAGTAAGCGATCCATAGTACATTTGGATAGCATTCGTACACTATTTCAACCTTTTAGGATATGTACTAGAATCTGTAATCATGTTAAAATAGTAACTGATAAAGACAAATTAGATGCAAACTAGGACTAATGTTGCTTACTGTAAACTCATGTTACTTACTGTAAGTGATTTGTCGAACTTAAATACCTCTTGTTTTCCATTCAGAGAGGAGAAAAAAGAAGAACCAGAGACACCCAGGTATCGTGATCGTGCTAAGGAGCGTCGTGAAGATCAAAACCCAGATTATGAACCTACAGAACTTGGTTCATTTCATGCAGTGGCACCTCCTGGGACCGATTTGAGGTAATAGATCACATGTTCATTTATCTGGCACTTCCATCTGTACTTAGTTTATTTTTCTATGTTTCCTGGAATCTTAATCTCTGCAATGCTTGTGTCACAGGTTGGCAGATGCCCACAAGATTTCAATTGAGAAAAGCAAATATCTCGGAGGTTGGTTGTGATTCTATACTTTCTTAAAGGAGATAATGTCCTTTTTGTGGCAAACCTCCCATTTGGCATTTCTACTTCTTACCTCTGTTTTGTACTATCTTTTATGTGTATGAACAAGCTAGCATACATGTGCATGAGCTGTCTGAATCATGACTTCTGTAAAAAAGTGAGTAGTTTAACGTAGTCTTATAAATTTGGTACTTTCTCCATTCCAAATTGTAAGTCATTCCAAGAATCTTGAGAGTCAAAGCATCTCAAGTTTAACCAAAATTATAGAGAAAACTACAAAGATTTATGACATCAAATAAGTATATTATGAAAGTATCGTTAAATGAAGAATCTAATGATACTTAGTTGGCATCATAAACGCCATTATCTTCTCGTATAAATTTGGTCAAAATTGAAATGCTTTGACTCTCTAAGATTCTTGGAATGACTTACTATTTGGGATGGAGGGAGTAAATTGGTAATGCCCAATGTTCAGTTTCAGAACATCATTTTCTCCAAGTGAAATCTAAAGAGTTAGCACCAACTTGATCCTTTAACCTAAGAAATCAGTCATTCATGAATTCTTGTAATGGAAACTAAAGGTAGAGAAGGTGACACTATATATTGCATATTGGCTGGTTACTCAGAGTCTCAGATGCCGTTTTTTATGTTTCCATCTTATGAGCTGCTTTTTGATTGATGTTCCATTTCCACTTTATTCTTTTAAGGTGATCTGGAGCATACACATCTGGTGAAGGGCTTGGACTATGCACTACTTCACAAAGTACGGAGTGAAATTGAAAAGAAACCTGATGCAGAGGATGGGAAGGATGCAAAGTCAAGGTAATTGCCAGCCTTATGTCATGTTATCACAGTTTTTGCCGTATATGTTCGTAACATCGATTAGGGTTTAAAAAGTCATGTATGCAGTTTGTATTTTGAATGTTGTAGTTGTAGTATGTCTATAATAGTGACTGTCATGTGCATGATATTCAGTTATTCACTTGTACAGAAAGTAAGCCAGTACAGGAATTTTTTCCATGATGACTCAATTATATGAACCGAACATTTTTGGCTAGCTCCAAGTTTTGGAGTTTGAGTTGATTTAAGAGATCCAATTTCTTTCCTCTTGAATTTTAGAAGAGTCTTATTTTTTAATAAATTTCTTGTTCATGTAAATTGCTAATGTAAATTTAGAAATGGGTTGTGCCTCCTGTTATATTTTGCATTTGGATGGCTTGTAGTACTACATAACTTTGACAGCATCCCTGAAGCCATTGTGCACAACTGATTTGTTGGCATGCTAACTCAGATCCGTGTAAGGCCTTTTTCTTTGTACAAGCAATAATGTCGCGTTGCATTTGGAATGTATGTAAGCAACTAAACATTTTCTCAACCAAATATCATTTCCTGCCATCATTAGCACCACCATGTGCTACAATGTAAAATATAATATCCATCCATCTCCCAATTGGAGCGATACTTGTTAATAGCCTCATGTTTTCAGTCCGGCTGCACCTAGTGCTTTGGGAGCATAACACTTATCTTTCACTTTTGTTGTTCAGGGCAACCAAAGAAGATCAGGCAGTCTCCTTTCGCACTGCAACTGCAAAGGTATATTTCTTCTTGAGTTATCACTTATCAGTGAGTTTTTTCCCTTCATACATTAATGGTTAATACAACACGGTTATTGATTTTCATTCTTTGCTGGTTGCAGTCTGTCTACCAATGGATCATAAAGCCTCAAAGCATAATTAAAGAGAATGAATTGTTTCTTCCTGGTCGTATGTCATTTATTTACAATATGGTAATGCTCTAAAAAGTATTCCTGTAGTAATATATTTACTTCATTGCATAACGGAGTTCGTTATTATACATTATACGTTTCACAATAATCATGCATGGTAAATGACAAGCTATAGGCAATTAGGCATTAAATTTCCCTAATTTTCTCCACAGAAATGACCAGTTGCATGCATTATTTTATTTTCATCATGCATCAGTGTTCATTTATACCTACAGACATGGTATTATCATATTATGTATAAATGCCCAAAGCATTCTGTGAAATTGAGATTATGTTTGAGTATTGGTTTACTAGGTATTCATATTTTAACCTTCTTATTCTGAGAATTTAGCATGTCTATCCTATGATTATTTGTTGCTTTTTGCATTATATGAAATGCATGATTATGTTTTATTTTATGACAAGAAATTGTCTGTTTCTCTGTTGATAACCTAGTGCAGAACTTCAGTCGGTTTCCTCAATTTATCACTTGGGAACTGAATAGCCTTGTGATTTTATTATGCTCCATTATATTCAAGTATAGTGTTAATTTATCTCTGATGGCATGATTTACAGTTCATGTGAATCTGATTGTCACTACGGTGCATCATAGCCTCATAATTGCTACATACATTGCTTTCTCTTGTTCATGTTCTATTAGGGCAACCGCTATGTGGCTCAAAGTTGGGGTGTATGATGTTTTGGTTTGCTAGATGTATCCTTTCCACAGATTTTCTCAGAATAATAGAGTAGGGGTGCCAGCACAGCTTATTCTCATGAAGTTGCCAGTATCAGCGAATTCTTTTCTTTTCTATTCCAAACTTTGCTGTATCATTTCATCTGTCTCCTTTTATTTGGGTCTGAACTTTTTGTTTATAAAGCATAGTAATTTTCTTTTTATGATCCAATCAGGAGGAGGGAGTAACCAATGATATTCCAACAACTCTTCATAGGAGCAAAGCTGATTGCCCGGTTCCAGAGGTATTGTGATAATATGGCGTATCTCATGTTAAGAGTGTTTTGTAACTTTTCTTAATGACCTTACTTTTGCAGGAGATGGTGACAGTCAGCGTTGATGGTTCTGTACTTGACAGGATTGCTAAAATTATGACATACCTTCGGCTTGGATCATCAGGGAAGGTCTTGAAGAAAAAGAAAAAGGAGAGAGACATAAAAGGTGTGTTCATGAGAGTAAATAATATACTAGAGATCTTGTTGAGTTAGAATCTGAGAACAGGAAAACTTCCATGGTAAATACATTAGGAAATATGCTAAAGTGTTTTGTCCGGAAGAAATAACACATTTTTACTTATATACTCCCTCCGGTCATGATAACATGAGTTAGGACATCACAACTGAACTGAAAGTAAAGTTGTTAGTTTTGCCAGGGTGCATGAATTTTGTTACAATTGTATGACTAGTATTCTTTTTAGAATTATCTTCAGGTGCTTGATGGATTAGGTATCTTGTTAATGCACTATGTTTGCTATAATGCAGGGAAGAGCAATTTGGTAAGTGGTGACTATGATGAGCCAGTAAAACCTTCCCAAATTAATGGTTCTACTCTGAAACATCAATCAGATATGCCACCACCACCAGCTCCACCCCCTCGGAACAATAATTTCAATGGAAAGGAGAAACAACCAGTCCCTGTTGCAAGAGCAGACGATGATGACATTTTTGTTGGAGATGGAGTTGACTATTCAGTTCCTAACAAGGAAATGAGTCAGAGCCCTATTTCTGATATGGATGAATCCCCACGTAGCCATCAGAAGCAGTCCAATTTCACTGAACCCATGTATGGCCCAGTACCACCATCTGAACCTGCTCAAGCTTGGCAACAGCCGGTAAGCCTATAAATCTTCAATAACTTAGGTTCTGGTTAATACCTGTAATTTTAGCTGTGCGCTTTGAATGTTGAGGCTATCGGTGTATTTTTTATCGCTCCATGTTCATGGCCTACTATACCTGTTTTTAGTTTTATTTGCATTCTATTCAACTTGGTCATAATATTTAATGTCTTTTCTGGTGCCAGAATGGGTATGATGCTGTTCAAGCCCAGATGGCAGCTGCTGGATATCAAGGTGACTGGTCAAGCTATGTGTATGCAGAGCAGCAGTTGGGTTATCCAGAACAGTATGTGCAGCAAAGCACCCAGGAATACGACGTGTTAGCTGATCCTAGTATATCCCAGGATCCGAGGTTCATGACTCAAGCAGACAAGGATCGGGGTTTAGGTTCTGTTTTCAAACGTGATGATCAAAGGCTTAATCAGCTGAGGGAAAAAGATGCACGAGAGAGAGATCCAAATTTTATCTCAGATAGTTACTCAGAGTGTTATCCTGGTTACCAGGAGTATAATAATGAGATTGCGGGAAGCGATGATGAAGATGATTTATCAAAGATGGATATGGGTGGACGGGTAAGTGAAATGATTTAGATCTTATGCACAAAAGTTCCCTTGCAAATTCAAGCCTATGCTTGTGACATGGGTTTATGTGAAATCACAGTGGATTGGCTAGGCAAGGCATCTCACTTAGTTAATGTCTATTTTGTTGCATTTTCTGTTGAATTCTTTTGCACTGATAATTCATTTCCGCATCATTTTTCTTAAATATGTATTTGAATATTCTGAAAACTTACAGTGAAGTGTTCTATCTGATTTTTTGAGATCTTTCTATTTACTATTCTGTTTTGTAGTTTATCATAATCCAAGGCTGTTGTCCTGGTATTACTTTCTTCTGGTTGTTTAGCCTGTACATCTTCTACTGTTCAGTGGTGATATAGATAGTGACTTTTGGTTTAAAATCACTGGCGCTTTTGGAGCATCTCTGTAGTGTGTTCTGATATACAATTCTTGAGCAGGCGAAGGGCCGCCTTCACAGGTGGGACTTTGAGACTGAAGAGGAGTGGGCAAAGTACAACGATCAGAAAGAAGCCATGCCAAAGGCTGCCTTCCAGTTTGGGGTGAAGATGCAGGACGGCAGGAAGACCAGGAAGCAGAACAAGGACCAGAAGCTCACGAATGACCTCCACAAGATCAACAAGATCCTGGCTAGGAAGAAGGGCGAGAGAGATGGGGCGGAAGATGGCGGTCACTATGATGATGATTTACCTAGCTCGAAGAAACAGCGTGGCTGAAGCTGTCGATTATTGTTTCTCCTGCTGATGATTATTGTTTCTCCTGCCAATACAGCTTTCTAGCATAGAGATACACAGTGCTATGTTTAACTGACCTGCTGTATAATGCATTCCTGCTGAGATTGTTTAAGGTGGCTGGTAGGAAACATGATGATGTTATTGAGCTGAAACCATGGAAGAAATATGGCTGTATATGTAATTTTTTTCTAAGGAAAAAAAAGCAGATCTTTATTATTATAATTAATCTGAAAGGATTTGATTTGTCAAATTGGGAGGTTTTTGTGATCTGTTGAGAGTTGAGAATAGCCAGCACTGTGGCTCAGTGTTTAACTTGGGCTGTGATCAGTTGATGAAATTCTTGCAGTGTAATTCATGATTCTTCTGCCCATTTGGAACCTGGGCTATTGTTTAACTACAAATGTGATCTTTTGTTTAACTACAAATGTGATCTACTATTGTTTAACATGGGCTGTGCCATTTGGAACGAATCTCTCTGAATACAGTACACTCTGATCAGTGACATAAATACAGTACAGTATACTCACTCTGGTTGTTAGGAAACCCCCCGTGGCCCGTGCTGAGAAGATTGGTGCTAAACTTGCTTTCTGACAGGAGAGCCTTTGCAAAGCTGAATGGGATTTGTTTTTGTTCCTGGACTCCATGTGTCGCGTGTGTCCCCATCTAAATTGGTCTGCCACACAACGTCCTATCTTTATCCAAGTTTGTTGGCTTCCTTGACTTTGATTTATACGTAGTTTATACTGTACTGGAGATGGTGGTTGTTAAGTGCGTCAGTCGGTGGTGACACCATCAACATATGTAACTCCGTATAGCGCCTGGAATTGGCGCAAGGAGAACGCTTCAACCACGGTTCGATTTACTGTTCGTCAATCAGCCGACTCCACGTGCCTCGTGTGTGTGCCCGCCTGCATTTGCTCTCAGGGTTCATTCAGGCCTGCACGTCTATAGCCTTTATTAGACAAAAAAAAAAGAAAAGAAACTGGCAGCGCCTCGAAGCCTCCGCGTCGTCTTCTTTCACTCCCCCAAAGCCCCAAAGAAAATCCGCGCCTCGCCGCCTCCGCCTCTCCTCTCGATCCTATTCTTCCTCTCCTAAGCAACAGCGTTCGGATGCCGCGCCCAGCCACCTCGTCATCGCCACCTCTGCGTGTTCCATCCCGGCGCCGGATCCCGCACGCCTGCCACCGCTCTGCCTCCACAGCGCGCGCAGATGGTGCCCCCGTCTGCCTCGCCGTCGGCCGCTGCTGTAATCCGTGGCCCCGTTGCTACACATCAGGTCGCCCTCTCTATCTTCCTCCCCTAGACGGAGCAGCAGTCGGCTCCACATCCAGCCTCCTCGCCTTCTCCAACCAAGGTACTCTCCCCCTCTCTCTAATTTGGTTCGGCCTGTCTCTGATTGCTCCTACTGGGTGGACACCGCATTCGAGGTGATAGCCATCCACTGCAGCACCTGGACGTCCCCAATGAGGTGTTTGGAGGAAAAAGAAATCGAGGGCGCCACTGTCACGGCCGTGACGTCCGATTGCAGCCTGGCCTGGTCACGGAGGGCGATATCCTCCACGTTATTAGCGACTATTCCGGTGAACAACTACAACACGATGTTTTCTATTCCTTTACATGAGTGCTACTTCAAACCACGTATCTACATGTGAAATCTGCAGGCTCCTAATGCGGGTGGTCAGACAGAGGAAACTTTTGGCAGCCTTCCTCACACTCCATCAATGTGTTTTCTGAAATTTAGGCCATGTCAATTTGCTATTTTCTGGGACATGGACTGGCCAACCTTTGTTTATGTTGTTGTATTATCTATCTTCTTGCAGAAATAAAATTTAACCAACATGTTCTTCCTGAAAAAAAATTGGTCTGCTTGTGTGTTCTGAACTTTCATTTTGATGATGCTTCATATCTGCATGTTTGATTTAGTTTTCAATGCATTTCAGGGGTTGTCAGTGTTGGTGACGATATTTTGAGTTCTGATGGCAATCCATGGCCTAGTGCCTCCATGCTACAAGCTTAATTAGAGCCCACAGACTAAGGATTTGTCAGCAGAAATTTAGACATCAACAGTCTCCACGGTACATGCTTAATCTAAAGCCCACATATTAAAGATTTGACGGCGCAAATTTTCATATTCACATACATTGCGGACATGACCTAGCATCTCTTTTCCCAATTAATTCCTACTTGCATAGCGCATAGTTATCTCCAATATTTTAGCAAATAATGGTTTCATCTGATTTCCTAGGTTGTGTCGATTGATTTTTTTGCTTATGTACAACTCATCCATATGGTATGCAAGCCATCTTGCTACCGGTTACCTGCTCGGTCCATTGCTTCATGGTCTCACTTTGCCTGTTTAAAATCTCTGCAAAATATATTTTTGTGCTGGCACCTGTTGTTCAGCAAATTTGCGCGTCAAACTCTTGCAATTTTGATTTTGTGCCTTCCAGCTTACCTCTATTGGATAGTTGGTATTCGATAAACAACAGTTCGGTAAGTAACATTTTCCTATTGTATATGTTGTAATTGTCGATCATGCATTTCTTAAATCTTTAACATAGGTTGCCATTTTTTGTGGTTACGCTCTTGGTTTATCTGATCCAAATGATTATTCAGTAAAAGGAAGACTTTTCCTTTTTTCTGTTTTGATGCACCTGTGATAGCTACATATCTGGCCTATAGTAGTCTAAGATAACTTATGTAGTTTTGTATTACCAAAGTACTCAGCAGAAAGATAGTTCTGTGTTGGACAATTGTACCATCATTTTTCCAAGGTAGGGTGTGGCCTCAAATGGCATCTACAATATTGCTGCCAAGCCAAACGCTACTTGCATCAGGCATCGTCATGCCTTCCTATGGTACTACATTTACCTGCACTTTATATTCATTTTCTGTTCTGAGCAAATATAATTTATCTCATAACACCTTATGATACATTTTAATTAGAATTAGTTACTATGAGTTCTGTCATGGATCTAGCTGTGGAACAGAACAGGTTATCAACCATGCATTTTTTTGGGCATGGAGCAAGGCTGCATGACCCTTTTTTTTGTCCAACTAATATAAAAGAAAATTTAAAAACACATAGTGGTTTGGTTTCTCATTCACTAATCTAATAATTATGGTGCTTCCTGCTTTGTGCTTCATTAGGACGAAATCAGACATGGATATTGACTAGCTGTACACGCTCATTTTAGGAATTGATTAGATGCAGTTTAATGTAATAACATTAGTGACTGACCTGTGGAATCTAATCCTTGAGAAAAGGTACAATTTGTGTGCTATGACCAGTTCAGAGTTATCATTGACTCATTCTTTCTCTTCTATGAAACCGTTCTTACAACGCTAACCTTTTTTTTCCTTGAATAGTGAATGAAATTTCTGCAGACTAACCTCATTAACAAGGTACTCAATTTTGCACATGAGAGGATACAAGTCAGATGGGACCTGGAACTAATGGCTTACTAGGTCGCTTGATGAAGAATAGACACGGTCTTATATGATGTTTTTGCCAACACCCAGTCCAAGAGTAACCACATTTCCTGTAATCTTCATCTAAATTATACAATGAACTAATGTCTCTGTAGTTTATTTATGTTTAATTTAGTGTTCTGCATTGCAAATTTTATTTTCTACTGTTTTGTACGCCACCCTATTGTATCGCTGGGACTATATAAATATAGTCAATTATTCATAATGGTTGTGTAAAGCATAGATGAATTAGTCTTATCACATATGTAGTCAAGTGCTTAATCGGTCTTGCATGCACATTTGAACAGCCTGCTGACTTCCGCTTGCTGCCATTACCGCGAAGCCAAAACGGGCGCGGCGAAGCACGCCCACCGTCCTAGTAATATAAAATCAGTGGAAAAAGAATTTTCCTCACGCTTTTTGACCTGGTCCGTGCGTGGAACCTGGTCCGTGGAAAATGAAATTATCTTCACGTATACCTTAAATAATGCGCGAATATGGATATGGCTGAATACGCCTCCAAATATATCTTAGATACGAATACAGGCAGTATCTACGAATTTATACACGTATTGGACCGGATACTCGAACCAGATATACGCTTGGGTACGGCCCAAGTAGAGAAAACAGCACAAGCCCCTGTTTAGTTCGCCTCCAAAATGCAAAAGTGCAAAGATTCTCCATCACATCACTATCATGTTAAATCTTTGACATATATATAGAGTATTAATTGTAGGTAAAAAAAATAATTAATTACACAGTTTGCTTGTACTTTACCAGATAAATCTTTTAAAGCTAATTAATTAATGTTTAAACAATAATTAACAAATACAAAAAAAAAAAAACTAGAACTAAACAAGGCCCAAGTAAACAATCATTCCAATCCCACTCCCTCTGCTCTCAAAGAAAAAAAAAATCCCAATCCCACCGCTCTGTTGTTTTGCCCCCTAGCTAGAGCCGGCGGCTGGCGGCGAGGTGGCGAGCTCCGTCCGGCCTCCGTCTCCGGTGAGAGAAGAATCGGATGACATGGACCTCGACACAGCTCCGTTCGGCATCCGCATTCGGCTCCTCCCGGCTGCCTTTCTCGGCGTACCCAGATCCGGTCCCTCGCCGCCGTCGAGCTCCAGTACATACTCCGGCGAGAATCCCTCAGCGCCCAGGCCTGCAAGCTCAAGTAAGGTAGCTCCTCTCATCGCCGTGTCTTTTCCCTCCAGTAATACTACACTACATTGCCTGATCTAATATCGGTACTTTTTCTCTTCTTTGTTAGTACGACTGTACGAGTGGTCGAATTGACTGTCGTAATTTGTTCTCTACATTGTTAGTACGAGTAGTCGAATAGTAGATTTCCTTTTGCTTTGTTGCTGTCTGGGCCACTGTTAGTAACTAGGAAGGTTCTAAATTCCCATTACTCTCGATCATATAGTGATAGGGTAGTCATGTAGAGTATTCCGTGGTATATACTCTTACTCGTTCAAAGATGACTCCTAGTTAGATTCATCAAGATATGGGTGCATGAAGATTTCTATATCTTCACTGGTACACAGAGCGTTGGTCAAGCCTCGGGATGGCGTCCACAGTGACCAGAGTTTGAACCCTTGGTGGGGCGAATTATGATCGGTGCGGTGTGGAAAAAAAAACCTCACCTGTCCTGCGTTCCCAAAGCACACGTAAAAGGACCGGCCTCTCACCAGTTTACGGGTCCCTATGTGCGAGCAGGGCATGGGGTTCAGGCGTTTTCTCGAGATGAGAAGTCCTCTAACTTAAGCCAAAATAGCTCTTGTAACTGATAAGTTTATCACAATTGGGTAGACACCACATATCATTATGCCTATTGTGTTAGGAAATGAATAAAAAGAGGAAAAAATATACGATTTAATATAAGAGCACGGATTGATGGACTAGTATTACTAATTTCATTCCATGTCCTTGTTCCAATGGGCAGTCCATGGTCAGAAAAGATGTTTGACTCACACGGGACGGCTTGACGATGGTTTGACAATCCAAGTCTACGCTACTATTGATGAGTCAAAAGGAAAAAACCGAGTAAAAAAAAAGTCTACGCTGGCCCAGTCGTTGTCACAGACTCGCAATCAAACGAATTGGAGACTGCTTAGTAGCTTCGCTGTGACTGGTCTGTGAGACTGACTTATAAAACACCAGCCAAACGATATGGGGCTCTGTTTCTCGGTTTGGAACTAGTGCATCTCATATCATCAAACCATATATTGTCCCAAGATTTTGTGTCCTTCTTCCTTCTCCAAACCACAGACCAAATGCTAGCTAGTAAGTAACAATGGCCGTAGTGAGAGTGAGCTGCCGTTCCTCCTCCGGCCTCAACGTCGTCTCCTGCAGCAGCCTCTGCTGCTGTTTATGGATGCTACTGTCCATCCATGTCCCGGGGGCTGGCTCGCTGTCCTTCAACCTCAGCTTCTCCCATCCACAAAGCCCTGCTAACCTCCGTGAATTGCTAAACTGCACCAGCGATGCGACCATCGAGGATACGGAAGGGCTTCACCTGACAAAAGACATCATGTGGAGCGTCGGCCGGGCTCAATACGTGGAAGCAATGCGGCTATGGGACAGATCTAGTGGCGAGATGGCCAGCTTCACCACCACCTTCCACTTCGACATAAAGCCGGTTGGCAGTGGTTTGAGTGGTGACGGGCTGGCCTTCTTCCTCGTCCCTCCCGAGTCTGGTATGCCTGCCGGCGACAGCAGAGGGGGCGCCTTGGGCATCCTCCCTAGGGAATCCAAGTACTGGAATGATACCGCCGGTATCATCGCGGTGGAGTTTGACACCTTTCTGAATCCGGAATACGACGATATAAGCGACGGCCATATCGGAATCGACGTCAACTCCCTCAACTCCACGGCATCCACCAACATCACGTCGCAGAACAATAACCTCAAGTCCAATTTCACCAAGATGGCCATCGTCAGGTACAACAATATCACCAAGTTGCTAGTTGCTGATCTCAACATCAACAACACATGGTACAATGTCAACAAAACTATCGATCTGCGCAAATACCTGCCAGAGTATGTCACCGTGGGCTTCTCAGCGGCGACTGGCAGCTACGCCGAGCTGCACCAGATACTATCATGGTCATTCACATCCACCCTGCAGGAACCACCAGTGCCGGCACCAGCGCTGCTGCCTCTGACACCTGACAGCATCCAGAATCCCAAGAAGAGATCAGTAGGAATCCTGATAATCGCGGTGCTAGTGCCTCTGCTATTTCTCTTGGCATGTGCAGCCGTTCTGGCCTTTCTAGTACGGCAGCAGAAACGCAAAAGAAGAAGATCGTTGGGAGGAAGAGGAGTACCACCAAATGGAAGCAGCGACGACGACAACGATTACCAAGAACAAGACGACAGCAGGGCCGAGCTCGAGAGAGGAGTGGCTGCCAGCGGCCCTAGGCGGTATACGTACCGCGAGCTGGCGGCTGCCACCAACAACTTTGCCGATGATGGCAAGCTCGGTCGCGGTGGCTTTGGAAGTGTCTATAGGGGTAAGCTCGCTGTTGCCGGCGAAGACCGCCCGGTGGCCATCAAGATGTTATCATCGGAGTCGTCGGCGCAAGGGAGGAAGCAGTTTGAGGCGGAGGTGAGGATCATCAGCCGGCTCAAGCATCGCAACCTCGTGCAGCTCCTGGGCTGGTGCGACAGCCGCCATGGCCTCCTGCTTGTCTACGAGCTGGTGGCCCAAGGAAGCCTGGACAGGCATCTCCACCGCAGCGACAGCGAGAGCTTTTTGACGTGGCCAGAAAGGTAAACAACATCCTGCTGATGATTGTGAATTGTGATTGTTGTGAGAATATTTAGGCTGTCTTTTATCTCTTTTTACCAAGCACTAATTGATTTTCACATAGGTACCAGATCATCCTCGGCTTGGGCTCAGCATTGCGGTATCTCCATCAGGAGTGGGAGCAGTGCGTGGTGCACGGCGACATCAAGCCCAGCAACATCATGCTGGACGACTCGCTCGGCACCAGGCTCGGCGACTTCGGCCTTGCCCGGCTCGGTGATCACGGCGCACGGTGGCACACCACTAGGGCCGTGATGGGCACGGCGGGGTACATCGATCCGGAGTTCGTCAACACGCACCACCCGAGCACCTACTCTGACGTCTACAGCTTCGGCATCGTCCTCCTCGAGATTGTCTCCGGCCGGTGCCCCGTGATCCTGCTGGAAGGCGGTGCGCACTTCGTTCTGGTCAAGTGGATGTGGGGTCTGTATGGCCGGAACACGATCCTCGACGCGGCGGACGAACGGCTGAGGGCCGCCGGCGACGAGGCCAACGATAGGTGCATGGAGAGGGTGCTCGTCGTCGGGCTGTGGTGCGCGCACCCTGACCAGAACGAACGGCCGTCCATCGCACAGGCCATGCACGTCCTGCAGTCAGAGGACGCCAGGCTTCCGGAGCTCACGCCTCAGATGTACAGGACGGTGTCGGAGTTTGCCGTCACTGGACGTGCTATCGGCGCCTTGTCCGTTCAGAGCTCCTCTTCCGCGACCACGGCGACAGCCGGTGGCCACTCCAAGGTCTCTTCCGAGTCAGCAACCTCTGCCTTGCTTCGAGATTCAAAAGAGTTGGGTTGATTTACATTCATCACTGTTGTATGGGCTGCCTCTGGTCTATGGGCGTCTTTGTGTATTATATATTGACTGTAAAATTACTTTTTTTTTCACATTCGTTACCATCATACTTCTTCACTTAAAAACAATCATCCGTTGTGTAGTTCTTCAATTAAAGCAACCATCTTTGTAAATTGTCTTTTTACATTCTGAGCCCAGTCTGATGAGTAATGCTTCAAAAAAAAAAAAAACGGATTCTCGCTCACAGCTGCCTGTATGACTGGTATCTGTAGTAATCAATTGGCTAGCGCAATATGAGCGAATGAAAAGTGATGTTTTTCGTTTCGCATCTTCGCTGCTATTTGTAATGTTGAATTAAGTCACCATTACAGTGTGATTAGTGAGGGGCCTTTTCCGAGCCCTGGTCAGAGGGTAATATAATATAACTATATAAGTGATCGATCGTACTGAATCGACCTGAGACTTGTCTTTATCACTTCTGTGTATTTTGACACATACATAATAAAGTTAGCACTAAGGGAATACCAAAGGGGAAAGACTCAATTATACTGTATAAAATGAAAAGATTAACACAAATCCCAACCATTATTATTCATATAAGTATATATATATAGGCACTGATGATAATGGACTGGAGGCATGCTCTACTACTAGCTACTAGCACCGGCGTTTCTGATAACGCCGGCTTCAATCCGATGCTCTTGTCAAGGAAGCCCAAGTCAAGGTCACGTGTACATGAAACCTGGTCATACAATCGATCAAAAAACAAAAACCATGCAATTCTCTACTTCAGGTTAAGTAACAAGATGAGGTAGACAGTTGAGAGGCCTGTCGCCCATCCTATGCCCAGCCCAAGATACAAGAACAATGCATCTTCGACGGCGACTTACGACTTCGATGAAGACGGGCGGACGCTGGCCGGTGGCCTTCTCCCCCCGAAAAAAAATCCTATTTTTTCGTCGTTTCAAAATTTGCCGAGTGTCCGACACTCGGCAAACATTTTGCCGAGTGCTCGAAAGAAAACACTCGGCCTTCTTCTCTTCTCGTTCTTCGAAGCTCAATCTGATGAGCCTTCAACGTCATGTATATCATTGCGAAATCCCTTGATCATTTTCAGTCATCAGCAGCAGTTTTATGAAATGCACCGTGTGCTACTTGAGAAGAGTAAAAGGAGGAATTGAACACTAATCTTCTACTGTTATCTACGTATTAAATACATTCACTTGCCTAGTGCGAAGTGGACTGCACAGAAAACTTTGTTTCTCGCACGACCAAGTCTCTGCTGGCTCACGTCGTCACACACCGGTACGCAGCACACTGCCTTGACTCCTGATCCTGAAGTGAAAAAAAAACAGTGGGGACAATTGTCCTATAGGGCAGCCCCTCCATTCCCATCAATATGCTCGTCTATGCTACCGACGCCGTTAGCGTATTGGAAGTGGCAGGTGGACGCGGCAGCTATCTTCGCTTTTTTCTATAATGTACTCTCTTCGTTCCTAAATATCCGTTGTTTGCGCTTTCTAAGAAATAACTTCAATAAAATATAGATTAAAAATATTAATATTTATAGTACATAATTAGTATTATTGAAAATATTTTTGTATATAGTTTTTTAACAAATTTACTAGGAGATATAAATATTGCATGTATTTTTTTAAATCAAGTCAAACTCGTAGCAACGCACACCAATGATGACAGATAAAAAGGGACAGAGGGAGCCACGAACATGACCCTCTCTTATTAGAAGCTTCATGAAACTGCTTCAAGCCTTCAAGATATAATAACGCTGGTGATCAAATGAAAACGAAAAGGAAACAAAGCTAGCCGAGCGCTACCTTCTTCATCTTCCTGCTTGCCTGTTCTTTTCCATTTGCCCCTATGTTGTAGCCATTCATGGTGATGTGGGTCCCATGTGTGTCTAGAAGCATCGATGTAAATAAATGCTGCAAGTTTGAATATTTCTTTGGTATGAGGTAGCATATGTTTTTTTTTTCAATATGGTAACGTTGTGGGTAGTCTACTCTAATTTAGCACGTTATTAGTCGTTGCAGGAGAAACATTCAAATTCAAACAATATATAAGGCTTGCCGGCGGGCTAGGTAGTTGGTAGTTGGTCTACATCTCATATGTAATATAGTGCTACGTACTTTCAAGAAGAGCTCTGGGACATGGGTTTCTGATCTTTCATCGCCTTCAAGATTTTCATACCCGTTTTTTAGACAAAACCGGATATAAAGATTACATATGTGCCCAGAGATCAATCACACATATGCAAGACAAATTACAAAAGTACCAAGCTCCAAGCTTTATTACATAGAGTTTAATAATCCATTACAATAAATATATCAGTCTTAGCAAAAGCGTATAAGATACTAAGCACTCCAGTGCTTCTCCATAAGCCACAGGGACACAGACTGGTTGACATCAAGTCTAACAGTCCTCGGGGAAATTAGCATACCCACCATTGGAAACAACCTGACCCAGAAAAGAAACTTTCTTCAACCAGAATTCACACTTACTCCGCTTAGTATACAACTTATTCTCTTTAAACTTCTATAAAACCAACCTTAGGTGTTTAGCATGTTCATCTTTTGTCTTAGAGAATACTAGGATATCATCAATGAATACCACCATGAACTTATCTAGATACTCCATGAACACTTTATTCATCATGTACATAAAATAGACAGGTGCATTGGTCAAACCAAAGGACATAACTGTATACTCATACAATCCATACCTTGTAGTGAACGTTGTCTTAGGTATGTCTGAATGCTGAATCTTCAATTGATGATAACCAGAACAAAGATCAAGCTTAGAGAACACACAAGCACCTCTCAACTGGTCAAACAAGTCATCAATCCTTGGCAGTGGATACTTGTTCTTGATAGTGACCTCATTTAGAGAACGATAATCTACACACATCCGTTGAGTACCATCATTCTTATCAACAAAGATCATAGATGCACCCCATGAAGATGAACTGGGATGTATGAAACCTTTCTCTCGCAACTCCTTTAATTGTTTCTTAAGTTCCTCTAATTCATTAACCCTCATTCTATATGGATGCTTAGCTATAGGTGCAGTGCCAGGTAATAACTCAATAATAAACTCAATATCGCAGTCACGAGCACAGAATAGGTGATAAATGGTCATGATACTAAATGATGATTGCTCACCCTTAATTATTGTTTTTGCTATACATTATTCATGTTTACCTGATCATGCATTTCTATGGACTTATGATAACTTGTTGCTACTCAATTGTTTAAAACTATGACTCACTAAAAGCTAATCATAGTAAACCAGTGTCAACCTTTTGAGCCTCATGAACCCCATGTTATATTTGCTGAGTACGACATGTACTTACGCTTGCTTTACTTTTCAATACTTTGGAAAATCCCGGATGGGTAACAGAAGATGGAGCTTGGTTAAATTTTTGAGGAGTGCTAAGCGTATGTTACCCCCAGTCAATCGTCCCTTTGGCTTTGGAGGCTTTACTTGAAAATTAAAATGTGTATTTCCGCTACTCTGATAAGTTTCTTGTATCTATGTAATATTGTTGTTTTTTTGAATGAACTGTATGTAATATTGTTGTTCATTGCATAATAAAGCATTGTCTCTTGATACTATTGTAATTTGTCACTATATGTGTGATTTGACTTTCTAGGCACACATATAGATAGTACTCAGCTTTGGTCTTAAAACTAGGAGTGACAAAGATAACTATCGATTTGGTGAAGAGCAACACACCGATCCGGTTTTAGATCGCAAAGACTTGGACTCTGCAACCTTAGCACCATGGCTCTTCTGTTATCAACCATATCACAATCCGGTTGACCTCGCTAATAAAAAGATTATTCCCTGCTGCGAATCAAAGAACACAAGCAAAACATGATAAAACACAACTCAAATAAAGTGACAATTGTAGATGTATGATTAAACTCAAATTTGTGGGTTTACAATGAATATTCAAAGACAGATTGATCTAAGCAAAACCCAAACTCTAATATGAGCTACAACTATTGATTATATAGTCCAAGGGGTGTCCAAAGGGATCCCTATTCATGTCCCTAACAAGTCCCGACACGTTACAAGACTCAAATGGCCCAAAAGACAATGACACAACGCCCTCAATATAGCTCTGGGACAGTCACCTGTTGTTCCATATAGCTCCTGAGGCTATGCCTTCTTTTAGTCTCCATCAGGGTGTTGAAACTGGCGGTCTCAGACAGTGAAGTCGAGGTAGGGGCCTCGCCCGCAAGGAGCTGCTCCTGGGTGGAGGCTCGGGAAACAGGCACGACAGGTGGGAGAGTAGGGAGATGACACGTAGAAACTAGGGTTTCATTAATTCATTCACCCCCAACTTACTGTTACAAGTGCTCCCTATTTATAGGACTCAACTACCTCTCGATAGAGTTTACTACAATGCCCCTCAACTGCTATGGTACATTCCTAGAATATTCCGCCACCAGTCTCTCATTTGCGGGGCAACCTCGACACACTGTCTTCAAGTAATGGGCCTCCATGAATGGGTGGCCCATCGGATCTCAGTCTTCAGCCCAGAGGCCTAGGTTCTCGACGCCGGCCTTCGTCCTGGGGCGCGTAGCCACCTGCGTGCAGTCTCCGCCGGTCCGGTCGGAGACCCCCCTACGTGAGTCTCCGCCTGGCCCCACCGGACCTCAGTCTTCGGCCCAGAGGCCTGGGTTCTCAACGCCGGCCTCCGTCCTGGGGCGTGTAGCCACCTACACGCAGTCTCTCGCCGGTCCGGTCGGAGACCTCCTGCGTGACTCTCCGCCGGCCGCGCGGACCATGGGCGCTTGCGCTTAGGTACCTGCACACACTAAGGCAAGGTCGTTGTTCGATTAGTTTGGGGGCAGGGCGGCCTTCGCCTCTAGAGCCGAGAGATGCCCGTCAGGCGAAGCGGGGTGGCCTCCACCTAAGGGGCCGGAGATGCCCATGTTCGGCTCGAGCGGAGTCCGTGACAAGCTTGCTAAGTCTCG